TAAAACCACGAGTCACAGAAATTATGCGGCAATCAAGGGAATTTGAAGGCTGACTGGATAGCTGATGATATTACAGGGCCTGCTGATATTTTTAGCCATCATAATGATAATGTGGTTACTGTGGTTTTGTTTTAAATAGAGACCTCATCTGTAATATTTCTTTCCAGAAACATTCATGGATGAACTGATACAATGCCTGGGATTTGCTTCAAAATGTTCCAGGGGAAAGGCAGAGGGTTGGGGAAGAGATGGAACAGACCTGGCTGGGAGCTGGGCATTGTTGAAGTTGGGGAGGGGTATATAGGTGTTCACTGCAGTCTTTCCTCTACTTGGGTGGATATTTGAAAATTTTCACAATTAAAGGGGTCAGCTGGGTGTGGTGACTCACGTCTGTAATCCCAGCACTTTGGGTGAATCATTTGAGGTCAGGAGTTCAAGACCAGCTTGGTCAACATGGTAAAACCTGGTCTATACTAAAAATACAAAAATTAGCCAGGTGTGGTGGTTAGTGCCTGTAGTTCCAGGTACTCGGGAGGCTGAGGTAGGAGAATCTCTTGAGCCAAGGAGGAGATTGTACTGAGCTGAGATCATACCGCTGTGCTCCAATTTGGGTGACAGAGCAAGACTCCATCTCAAAACAAACAAACAAAAAAATGAAAAGGGAAAAATATTCATCCTCATTGGAGGGATACAAGGGACAAACACTGCTTTTTTCTCCCTGTGATATGCTGAAAATAAAGAAGCAGGGGGAAAAAAATCTCTGCTTTTATTCATCGGTATGGAAAATGTTATTTACAATTAAAAATAACACATTCTCTCTCTCTTTCTCTGTCTTTTTTGACACAGGGTCTCACTCTATGACTCAGGCTGGAGTTCAATGGCGTGATCTCAGCTCACTGCAGCCTCAAATCCTGGGCTCAAACAACCCTTCCATCTTAGCCTCCTGAGTAGCTGTGACCACAGGCATGCACTACCGTGCCGACTAACTTTTCGTGTGTGTGTAAAGATGAGATCTTGCCATGTTTCCCAGGCTGGTCTCAAACTCCTGGGCTCAAGGGATCCCCCTGCCTTGGCCTCCCAAAGTGTTGGGATTATAGGATGAGGCACGGTGCCTAGCCTGACATTTTATTTTTAATGTAAGGAAAAGTGAAGGCTCTGGTTTGAATCTAAGCTTTGCATTGACCTTGTCACTGTGTTTGACCTTGAACAAGTAACTTCCTTCTGGTGCCTCAGTTTCTTTTTCTGTAAAATGGTGTGATGATGGTAATATTCCTTTTATTTTTGAGATGGAGTCTAGCTCTGCTTCCAGGCTGGGGCGCAGTGGCATGATCTCAACTCACTGCAACATCTGCCTCCTGGGCTCAAGCGATTCTCGTGCCTCAGCCTCCTATGTCTGTAGCTGGGATTAGAGACATGTGCCATCACACCTGGCTAATATTTGTCTTTTTAGTAGAGATGAGGTTTCACCATATTGGTCAGGCTGGTTTCAAACTCCTGACCTCAAGTGACCCCCTGCCTTGGCCTCCCAAAGTGCTGAGATTCCAAGCGTGAGCCATGGAGCCTGGCTGATACTACTACTTCTTAGAGTCTCTGTGCTGCTTGTGTGAAAGATGAATGTGACTGAAGCATTCAGTGTACTGCCTGGCCAGGAAAAGTGCCCCGTAAGTGTGAGCTCTTCTTACTCTTCCACCAATTCCTGTGCACAAAACTTCTGGGCAGTTCACTCCCACTGACCTTTATTGAGTAGCTACTGGGGGCTGGGCACTAACTGGACCTGGGCATTCAGTGGCCTCTGCTGCCTCCTCTTGCTCTGGGTCACCATGGGCCCCTGCCCTACTTGTTCTGGCTACAGGCTGGCCTTCCTGACCCTCGGGGGAGCTGTTTGCCTTAAAAGTTAGTAGCTCAGCCCTCCCATATGAAGAATAAAACTTGTGCTTAGAATTGGCAGCAAGAAGCTAATTGTTCCCAGCTCAGCTCCTCTGCTCTTTAGCAATGCTGGCTTCCCCTGCCTCCCTCCAGGGTCCCAATTAGGAGAGTTTTCTAGCCAGCAAGTGCACCAAGCATTCAGCTACTGCTCCCTGCCCTGCAAAGCTCTGCTCGGCCTTGGGTTCACTGCCTTCCTGGGAGCGAGAGGGCCAAGGCCGGGCGAGGCTGGGTCAGATGCAGTTCTGGACCATCCCTCCTTTGTCTGCTTGCCACATTAGCAGAAACGCCCTGTCATGATTTCATCCCGGTCCCTTCTTGCCCGGTCTCCCTCGCCTTGGCGAAAGAAGTGCTAAGGCAGTGAATCCTAGAATTCATCTTAGTTGTGGTAAACGCAGAGCAGAGGGGTTGCAGGAAGCTTCAGGATGTGTTAGCGGTTACCTTGAGGTCACGAGTTCCCAGGGCTGAAGCTTCACTGCTGACCTCCCCTCAAATCTCTGCCTCCCTTCCCACATCTGGAGGGAGTGGGTGCCATCCTTCCATCTGCCCCACGTTGCTGGGGTCAGGTCCTACCCCTTTAAAACATAGTGTAGGCCTGGATTGGTGACTCATGCCTGTAATCCCACCACTTTGGGAGTCTGAGGTGGGTGGATCACAAGGTAAGGAGTTCGAGACCAGCCTGGACAATATGGTGAAACCCCGTCTCTACTAAAAATACAAAAGTTAGCTGGGCATGGTGGTGGGTGCCTGTAGTCCCAGCTACTTGGGAGGCTGAGGCAGGAGAATCGCTTGAACCTGGGAGGCAGAGGTTGCAGTGAGCCCAGACCGTGCCGCTCCAGCCTGGGCGACAGACTGAGACTCCATCTCAAATAAAAAGAAAAAAATAGTGTAGATCCCCCATGCTGTGCTCTCTCTTCAGCTCTCCGTGGGGAGGACAGGCACCGGGCTCATGTGAAATGAGCGGCGAGCCGGGCCTGGGGTCTGAGGTCTGTATTCCAAGATGGGATGACTGAAAAGTCCTGACTTTGAGCACAGTTACAAGGAAAGCAAATGGACTGCTGCTATTACTATGGAAGAGTGCATTCGGACACAGACACCCACAAGCCGAGGAGAGAGGGCTCAGAGGAAACCGACCCTGCCCACACCAGAATCTCGTACCCCGCTGAACTGTGCACAGATATATTTCTGTTGTTTAAGCCAGGGTTCCCCAACCCCCACTGACCACCAGGTACCAGTCTGTGGTCTGTTAGGAATCAGGCAGCACAGCAGGAGGTGAGGAGCAGGCAAGAAAGTGAAGCTTCATCTGTACTTACAGCTGCCCCCATTGCTCGCATCACCACCTGAGCTCCGCCTCCCGTCCGTGGTAGCATTCGGTTCTCACAGAGCCATGAACCCTACTGTGAACTGTGCATGCGAGGGATCTAGGTTGGATGTTCCTTATCAGAACCTAATGCCTGAGATGTGCCACTGTCTCCCATCACGCCCAGATGGGACTGTCTAGTTGCAGGAAAACAAGCTCAGGGATCCCACTGATTCTACATCGTGGGGAGTAATGTAATTATTTCATTATACATTACAACGTGATAGTCATAGAGACGAAGTATACAATAAATGTCATGTGCTTGAATCACCCCCAAACCATCCTCCCCACCCAGTTCATGAAAAAATTGTCTTCTATGAAACTCATCCCTGGTGCCAAAAAGGTGGTTGCTTTAAGCAATCCAGTCTGTGATACTTGCTTATAGCAGTCCTCACAAACACATGCATTTCTACGCCTACTGAAATAACTTTTCAAGTGCTTCTAAACGTGTTTGTCATTGTGCTGAACGAATTATAAATATTATCTCACTTAATCCTCGCACAACTCCAAGGAGCAGGTATTATTATTATCTTCATTTGCAAGCGAGAAAACCGAGTTTATTTTAGTTATTCAGTGGTGGGAGAAATGCATAGAGTAGGTGCTCAATAAATTGAAGGACAGAAGCCAAGACGGGTTATAGAATGTGTGCAGGTCACCAGCAAGAGGCAGAGCTGGGACTGTAACCCAAGTCTTTCTGAGTCCCAGTCCTGTGCCCTTAACCACACACTACATGAAGTCAAATGCAGCCTGGAATACCTTCCAGCATGAAGCCCACAACAGCCATGGTAAGAAGGGAATGCTGGATTTTTCTCATGGGGCCATGGCTACACCAGGTGTTTCTTTATTTTTTTTGAGACAGAGTTCTGCTCTTCTCACCCAGGCTGGCGTGCAATGGCTACAATCTTGGTTCACTACAAGCTCTGCCTCCCAGGTACAAGTGATTCTCCTGCCTCAGCCTCCCAAGTAGCTGGGACTACAGGCACCTATCACCATGCCTGGTAATTTTTGTATTCTTTTTTGAGATGGAGTCTTACTCTGTCACCCAGGCTGGAGTATAGTGGTACGATCTTGGCTCACTGCAACCTCTGCCTCCCGGGTTCAAGAGAGTCTCCTGCCTTAGCCTCCCAAGTAGCTGGGACTACAGGCACCTATCACCATGCCCAGCTAATTTTTGTATTTTTAGTAGAGATAGGGTTTCACCACATTGGCCAGGCTGGTCTTGAACTCCTAACTTCAGGTGATCCACCCGCCTCAGCCTCCCAAAGTGCTGGGATTACAGGCATGAGCCACCGTGCCTGGCGTGATTTTTGTATTTTTAGTAGAGGCAGGGTTCCACTGTGTTGGCCAGGCAGGTCTTGAACTCCTGACCTCAAGTGATCCACCTGCCTCAGCCTCCCAGAGTGCTGGGATTATAGACATGAGCCACCGTGCTCGGCCCATACATCAGGTGTTTCTGAGCCTGAAATTTCCCGGGTTTTGTGAGTTCTTGCTGAGAAGGACCTTGGCACTGGGTGGCAGTGTCTCCACTTCCCATGGCCTGCATGTGGCCTTGGGGAAAGCCTGCAGCTCTTTTCCCCTAATGTGTGCCCCCAGCTTAACTTAAGCCAATGACTTCAGAGACAGAGGGGGGATTTCCTCCCGCCCCCTCTGTCATCCCTCTGTGCCTTCCCTAGAGGATGTCAGGGCCTCTTCTTAGATGAGGAGAGGCCACATGTACCTTGTAGCCCTGGTTAATGCCGTTGATGAACTGAGGGCTGGGGGCGTTCCAGGTGAAGCGGATGGTCGTGGAATTGGTGGCTTCCGCGTGCACATTGCCTGGAGGGACGGTGGGAACTAGAGGAGAGGAGAGAATGGGAGAAAAATGCAGGGATCAGGGGTACAGCCTCTGCCCTGCACCCCCCTACCCCACCCCACCTCCTCCCTCGCTGTGTAGACTTAAGAGGCCTTCATATTCTCTCTGGATTAGATTGCATTAAATAAAACTTGCCTGACCCACCTCACAGGGTGCTGGTAAATAAAAAGGGTGGGGATGAAAATGCCCTGGTGTGGTTTTTAGGAAGTAAGCTGTTTCATGATCTACTTCACATGAAATTCATAGAAGGTCCTCATATGCCCGAAGCCCCTGCCTTTCACCATGTCCAAGCCAGCCTCCTCTTCCTCTTCCACTCAGTCCTCCCACCCTGTGGGGTAGCTTGGCATGGGGTGGTGATTCCAGCCCCAGAGTGCAATGGCAGGGGCCTTGTGAGAACGGCCACACAGCTGAGGCTCTCAGGCCTGGACAGGCACAGCACCCAGCAGGCACAGGATCTGGGAGCAGGAAAAGCACCTGCTCCTTTGAGGCCATAGTCCCTTTTCATTTCATTTCATTTTTTTTGAAACAGTCTCACTTTGTCACCCAGGCTGGAGTACAGCGGCATGATCTCAACTCACTGTGGCCTTAACTCCCCCAGGCTCAGGCAATCCTCCTGCCTCGGCCTCCCAAGTACCGGGGACCACAGGTATGGACCACAACACTGAGATAGTTTTGTTCATTTTTTGTAGAGACGGAGTCTCACTATGTTGCCTAGGTTAGCCTCAAACTCCTGGGCTCAAGTGACCAACCTGCCCCAGCCTCCTGAGTAACTGTGCCACCGTAGCAGGCCCAGCTACTTTTTTTCGTTTTTTTGTAGAGATGGAGTCTCCCTGCGTTACCCAGGCTGGTTTCAAACTCTTGGGCTTGAGCAGGCTTCCGGTTTGGACTCCCAAAGTGCTAGGATGTCATGCATGAACCACCGTGCCTGGTCTGAGGCCACCGTCTCTACTTACCTCCCTGCAGCGTCCATTCCGTGACTTTACTGCTGTAGACGCCCAGCCCAGCGCTGTTGTAAGCAGCCACCTCGATCTCGTAGTTGGTCCAAATGATGAGGTCCTCCAGCAGCAGGTTGTTCACATCAGCATCCGTGATGTTCTTAAATTGGTAGCCCACAGGCAGCCCGGCCAGGCAGTACCTGAGGGGAAGAGGCGAGGCATAGTGGAGTCAGAGGCAGCTTGCTGGGCCTCGCGCCCAGGAAATTGTCTGGAGCAGCGCTGTCCAATAGGACTTCCCGTGATGGTGCAAGTGCCCTGCATCTGTGCTGTCTGACGCAGTGCCCAACCGCACAGGCAGCTGCTGAGCACTTGAAATGTGGTTTAGCGTAACCAAGGAAATAAATTCAAAAAAAATTTTTGAGACAAGAGTGTCGCTCTGTCACCCATGCTGGAGTGCAGTGGCGTGATCTTGGCTCACTGCAACCTCCACCTGCCAGGTTCAAGCAATTCTCCTGCCTTAGCCTCCTGAGTAGCAGGGACTACAGGTGTGTGCCACCATGCCTGGCTAATTTTTTGTATTTTTAGTAGAGACGGGGTTTTACCATTCTGGCCAGGCTGGTCTTGAACTCCCGACCTTGTGATCCACCCGCTTTGGACTCCCAAAGTGCTGGGATTACAGGAGTGAGACACCATGTCTGGCTATACAGTCTTAAAAATGAACATATCAGAAAAAATTTTGGAGATTTGTGACAATTTGAAAAAACTCACAGCCTAGAAATATCAAAAAATTAAGAAAAAGGTATGTCATAAATGCATACAAATGTTTGTGTTAATCGACGGTTTGGCTATAGATGTGGCTCTGGCCAGCAGTAGGCTATTAGTAGTTAAGTTTTTGGGGAGCCAGAAATTATGCGTGGATTGGGCTAGGCATGGTAGCCCATGCCTATAATCCCAACACTTTGAAAGATCAGGTGGGTGGATCATTTGAGGTCAGGAGTTCGAGACCAGCCTGGCCAGCATGGTGAAGTCCCATCTCTACTAAAAATACAAAAATTAGCCGGCAGGCTGGGTGCACTGGCTCATACCTATAATTCCAGCACTTTGGGAGGCCAAGGCGGGTGGATCACTCGAGGGTAGGAGTTCAAGACTAGACTGGCCAAAAAAATGAAACCCTGTCTCTACTAAAAATAAAAAAATTAGCTGGATGTGGTGGTACATGTCTGTAGTCCCAGCTACTCGGGAGGCTAAGGCAGGAGGATCACTTGAGCCCAGGAGGTGGAGGTTGCAGTGAGCCGAGATTGCACCACTGCACTCCAGCCTGGGTAAAAAAAATCAAGCATGATAGTGGGTGCCTATAATTCCAGCTACTCAGGAGGCTGAGGCAGAAAAACTGCTTGAACCTGGAAGGCAGAGGCTGCAGTGAGCTGAGATTGAGCCACTGCACTCCAGCCTGGGCAGCGGAGTGAGACCCTGTCTCAAAAAAAATATATATACATGGATCATCAACCATGTAGGGGTCAGCACCCCAGCCCCCACATTGTTCAAGGGTCAACTATAGTTTAAGTAGCCAGAGTTGACTAATGGTTACCTTACTGGATAGCAGAGGTCTAGGGGATGTGTCTGGACTATTCTTTTTTTTTTTTTTTTTGAGATGGAGCCTTACTCTGTTGAGAGGCTGGAGCACAGTGGTGTAATCTCGGCCCACTGCAACCTCTGCCTCCCAGGTTCCAGAGATTCTTCCACCTCAGCCTTCCAAGTAGCCGGGACTATAGGCATGTGCCACCATGCCTGGCTAATTTTTGTATTTTTAGTAGAGACATGGTTTCACCATGTTGGTCAGGATGGTTTCGATCTCTTGACCTCGTGATCTGCCCGCCTTGGCCTCTCAAAGTGCTGGGATTACAGGCGTGAGCCACCGTGCCTGGCCATCTGGACTATTCTTTTTGGGGGAGAGGATTGCTAACCAGGGGCACTGAGAGGTCCCAGGGCAGATCTCACAGGTCTCAGCCTCTGAGGGGTCATGGACAGGAGAGCTGTCTCCTAGAAGGCTGGGCTCACTTTCTTTCTCCCTCTAGGATATAGCTTCCCTCTTCGGACAGTTACTCACCCAGGTGGAATGAAACACCTATTCTACCCATTTCTACCTCCACTGGCAAAAAGAATGCATGACACTAAAGAAGTAAAAAAATTTGGGGTGTCAGACACGAAGGATGGATCGATCACTCATTCGAGAAACACAATGCATATATAATTTGGCATCTAATTATTGGAAAATTAAGGACCTCAAAGTATTCCAATGTATTGCAATGTCCTAAAACACTGCTTCTGTAAACCTCAAGATGAATCAAAATCTCCTAGAAGACTTTTTTTGTTTTGAGAGGGAGTCTTACTCTATCACTCAGGCTGGAGTACAGTGGTGTGGTCTTGCAAACTCCAACTCCCAATTCAAGTGATTCTCCCACCTCAGCCTCCTGAGTAGCAGGGACTACAGGTGCCCACCACCACCTCCAGCTAATTTTTAAATTTTTAGTAGATATGGGGTTTTACTATGTTGGCCAGGCTGGTCTCGAACTCCTGACCTTGTGATTTGTCCTCCTAGGCCTCTCAAAGTATTGGGATTACAGGCGTGAGCCACCATGCCCGGCTGGAAGACTTTTTTTAGAAGTGGAGGTTTCTGAGGCCATTCTCAAAGTTTCCAGTTTGGTAGGTCTTGGATGAGACTTGAGAATTTGCATTTCTGACCCATTCTCGGGTTAGGCTGATGCTGTAGGTGCTGGGACCGCACTTGGAGAAGCACCGCTCTTTAGGATTAATGAAAAACTCACAACAAAATCAAGCAATAGTGGAGCAGTCAAAGCACTCCACTGTGAGGGTGTGTATGTGCAGGAATGAGACAGAATCTAGGCTATCAATGAGAGTTCTCAGTAACTTCAAATAACTTATGAATTTGAACTTATGAATACCACATTTTAGTGACTTTTTTTTTGAGACGGAGTCTTGCTCTGTCACCCAGGCTGGAGTGCAGTGGCACAATCTCAGCTCACTGCAACCTCCGCCTCCTGGGTTCAAGCCATTCTCCTGCTTCCAAGTAGCTGGGATTACAGTCTCATGCCAACATGCCCGACTAATTTTTGTACTTTTAGTAGAAATGGGCTTTCACCACGTTGGCCAGGCTGGTCTCGAACTCCTGACCTCAGGTGATCCACCTGCTTCGGCTTCCAAAGTGTTGGGATTACAGGTATGAGCCACTGCACCTGGCCAATGACTTTTAATGGCTCTCATTTAGGTTACTACTATATAATCCCTCAGTCAGATGCAAAGATAAGCGTCTGTATAACTGGGCTTCATCTCCGTTAAGAACCAAAGAAAGAACTTTCACTTTTCCATCGATTCTTTGGCCAGCTGGTTTTTCCACTCCTGAGAATATTCGTGGCTTCCCAGGGCGCCTGCCCCTTGGATAAGATAGTTACCTCTTTTTTCTCCTGTCTCCCTGTAGGTCTATTCCTACGTCAGCCCATATAGCCTCCCCTCTCAATCATTCCTGCTGGTGTCCAGGGGTCTTGCTGGTGGAAATTCTGCTAGGTGTCTAACCTAAATCTATCCTACCACTGTGGAGGCATTTCCTGTTACCTGGTCCTCGCGAGATGGCAAAGGGCCTGCCATGAATCTGCACGGTTTTCCAGTCCACTTCTGATCTTCCCCCATGTCTCTCCCCTTGGGACTGGGCTCCTGTCCCCAGGTTGGACACCCACCTGATGATGTAGCCCTTGAGAATTCCATTCTGGTGGCTCTCAGCAGGTGGCTGCCACTGGATCATGATGGACTGGTTGGTGCGACCACTGGCGATGACGTTCTGCGGAGGGGCCGTCGGGGGCTCCTCGGGCAGGGAGACCCTGGATCACAAAACACCAATGCTCTCAGTCTTGGGGTCAAACACAGGAGTTCAGTGGGCTAGGAGAAGGCTGAACCCTGCCCTACTCTGACCCCGGATAATTCTGTACAACTGCTATGTGCATTTGGGCAAGTCACCTAACCTCTCTGAGCTTGTTCTATAGAAGAATTATAACAAAGCTCTACTTGCCTACCTTACAAGACTAGTTGAGGCTCAAAGGGTACTACATACATAGTCTCTGTGTATATATATATGAGTCCTTTAGAAAACTGTTAAGGCCAGATGTCATGGCTCATGCCTGTAATCCCAGCACTTTGGGAGGCTGAGGCAAGAGGATCGCTTGAGGGCCAGAGTTCGAGACCAGCCTGGGCAACATGGCAAGACCTTGTCTCTACAACAACAAAAAAATCCAGGCGTGGTGACTTGCACCTGTAATCCTAAATACTAGGGAGGGTGAGGTGGGAGGATGGCTTGAGCCAGAAGGTCGAGGCTGCAGTGAGCTGTGTTTGCATCACTGCACTCCAGTCAGGGCAACCGAGCGAGATCCTGTCTCAAAAATAAATAAAAAAATAAAAATGCTAACATACAGATTTTTGGTGCAATTGAGGGATTAAGTCAGTTTCCTATTTGTCAAGGAAGCTGCTGTTGGAGCTGATGAGGTCATGAGTGTCCACGTGTTTTAGAAGCAGAACTGTTGGTCACATCCCAGTGGCCAGCTGCCAGTGTACCTTCACTAGGCCTCCTTTGCTGGCCAGCTGAGCTTCAGGCTGGAGCAGGGCAGGCATGGCGAGTGGCGGAGAGAGCCAAGCGCACCCGCCCTGCCTCTGGGAGCCAAGCATGACAGGCACATCTTTCTCTGGCATAGGTGGGGATGCTGTGTTCTGCCTAAGAGGATTTATTACATCACAGACACATGTTCATTCCAAACCAAAGTTAATTATTCTTGATGGATGTCTTTCCCTTTTTGTTTATTTTTACGTTTTTGCTTTTTGATGGATGGCTTTCCTAAGCATGCTGCCTGCTCCTGTGGTTTTGTTTATTTATTTATTTGAGACACTCTTTCACCCAGGCTGGAGTGCACTGGCGTGATCTCAGTTCACTGCCACTTCCGCCTCCCGGTTCAAGTGATTCTCTTGCCTCAGCCTCAAGAGTAGCTGGGATTGTAGGCATCTGCCACAGGCATGGCTAATGTTTGTATTTTTAGTAGAGACAGGGTTTCGCCATGTTGGCCAGGCTGGTTTCGAACTCCTGATCTCAGGTGATCCGCCTGCCTCAGCCTCCCAAAGTGCTAGGATTACAGGCATAAACCACCACACCTGGTCTGCTTCCATGTTTTTGGAGAGGCTGGAGTAAGGGTGATTTGGCCTTTTTTCTTTTTTTGAGACAGGGTTTTGCTCTTGTCCCCCAGGCTGGAGTGCAGTGGCACGATCTTGGCTCACTGCTACCTCCACCTCCCAGGTTCAAGCGATTCTCCTGTCTCAGCCTTCCTAGTAGCTGGGATAACAGGCATGTGCCACCATGCCCAGCTAATTTTTGTACTTTTAGTAGAGACAACGTTTAACCATGTCGGCCAGGCTGGTCTCAAACTCCTGACCTCAAGTGATCCACCTCCCCTCGGCCTCCCAAAGTGCTAGGATTACATTTGTGAGGACTTGGGCTTTTTCTTGGTGACTTAGGGCTGTTAGCGTGAAGGCACATTAGGAAGGTGAGTCAGTGTGATGTGGTGCAGCCGCAGGGCAGGAGAGCTGCAGGGCAGCTTCCCCTACACTTTGAGCCTGTCTGTTGTTGTGATTTTGTATCTTCAGATGGGCTGGGGCTGTATCTATTCATTCCTCGTCCCCCCTACAGTGTTCCAAACGTGGCATGGCACACAGTAGTTGCTCAGTAAACAGTGAGTATGTAAACCCTCCTGCAACTGCTCTCCATGCCGGCTGCTGCCTGCCACCGCTCCCCCTGTGGGAGTGTCTTGACCCCGGTGGGGCTACCCTAGCACAAGCCAGAGAGACCCAGGCTTATTGCAACTGTGGCAAAACCAAAATGATTGTTTTAAGCCCCGGGTGTCTTTTAAAGAGCCAAGTGCACAGCGTTGCACAGGGATTTGTGTCACGCTGTTCTGACCTCTTTCATGACGTACTTCTTGGTAGAGATGGCTGCTTGTTTTACAGAGCTGGAGATGATAGAATTCTTCTACACAGATGGGTATCACCGTGTGATGTTTTTATATGAAGTACCTGCTGTTTTTATTTAATTTCCTTTTTTTTCATTAAAAAAATTATTTTTATGATTTTTCCACATCCCTTCCCAGGTGTCTTTTTTTTTTTTTTAAGACAGAGTGTTGCTTTGTCACCCAGGCTGGATCCCAACTCACTGCAACCTCCGCCTCCTGGGTTCAAGTGATTATCGTGCCTCAGCCACTCAAGTAGCTGGAATTACGGGCACCCACCACCACACCCAGCTAATTTATATATTTTTAGTAGAGATGGGATTTTGCTATGTTGGCCAGGCTGATTTCGAACTCCTGACCTCAGGTGATCCACCTGCCTTGGCCTCCCATCGTGCTGGGATTACGATGGTAACCTACCATGCCCAGCAATTTTTATTATTTTAAAAAAGCTTTGTGGGAGGCTGGGCATGGTGGCTTACGCCTGTAATCCCAGCACTGGGAGGCCGAGGTGGGTGTATCACGAGGGCAAGAGATCAAGACCATCCTGGCCAACGTAGTGAAACCCCACCTCTACTAGAAAATACAAAAATTAGCTGGACGTGGTGGCAGGCACCTGTAGTCCCAGCTACTCAGGAGGCTGAGGCAGGAGTTTGCAGTGAGCCGAGATCACACCACTGAACTCCAGCATGGCAACAGAGCGAGACTCCATCTAAAAAGAAAAAAAAATCTTTGGGGAACCCTAGCAGAACCTGGCATCGGTGTCGGCTGCAGCCCCTCCCCGCAAGAGTTTTGGCCACGCCCCTTCAGAGTGCCCGCTGCCCTCACCTCTCAGTGTCTTTGCTGAATTGTCCTTTCCCCACGTCGTTCACGGCACAGAGACGGAATTGGTAGGAGCGTGCAGGAACCAAGCCCTTGACTGTCACTGAGGTAGCTTTGGGGTCCACACTGGCCAGGAGTACAGTCCAGGGGGCATCTGCAGGGACAGTGGGTGGGGGCAGAAGTGGGCATCTTGGTTGGGACAGCGTGTGCTTCTTACTCCTCATTTCCAGCAGGGTCCGGCCTCATTGGGGCTGGCAAGAGAGAGCCTCCCCAGCTTGGTCCAGGAGTGGCCCACCATGCCATTTTTCTTAGGTCCCATTAGCTCACACCACCCTGGGGAGGAGAGGGCGGAGGGTGCCGGAGCAAAGTAAGGGCTCATGGGAACTGAGGTGCCTCCATCTCTCCCCCTGGCCCTGCAAATCGATGAGCTCCAGGCAAGCTGTTTAAAATGCCATCCAGCCTGTGCGTGGTGGCTCACATCTGTAATCCCAGCACTTTGGGAGGCTGATGCAGGCAGATCACCTGAGGTCAGGAGTTCGAGACTAGCCTGACTAACATGGTGAAACCCCGTCTCTACTAAAAATACAGAATTAGCTGGGTGTGGTGGTGCATGCCTGTAATCCCAGCTATTCAGCAGGCTGAGCCAGGAGAATTGCTTGAACCCAGGAGGTGGAGGTTGCGGTGAGCCAAGATGGCACCATCATGCTCCAGCCTGGGTGACAAGCGTGAAACTCTGTCTCAAAAAAAAAAGTAAATAAATAAATAAAATGCAATTCAAATTATGCCTGCTAATTTGACTTGGGGAATACATACATAAACAATAAATACATAGTGGCCATTTTCTTTGCAGCTTCTGCTGTGCCAGGCCCTGAGTCCAGCACCTGTTGTGTGTCATGTCTTTCAATGGTAACAAGCCTGACAGGCAGATGTCGGTGTTTCTTTCAGAGATGAGGAAGCTGAGGCTGCCAGAGGGAGGGATCTGCTTGAAGGCCCAAAACTAGGAAGCAGGGGTGCTGTGACCCCAGCCCAGGGCTGCCTCCTGAGTCCACACTTGGGCAGGGGGTGCTGGCAGTGAGCACGGGAACCTTACTGTTCTCCGACATCTCCAGGACGTAGCGGATCAGGGGGCTGTTGCCGTCAAATGGCTTGGCCCACGTCAGGTTGATGGCTCGCCTCTCCACAGTGCTGAGTGTGGCCACCGGGTGCTCGGGCGCGTGGGGCAGTTGCCTGGAGGAGACAGACGTGTGGTCAGGCGTCCTGTGCAGTCTGCAGGCAGGTGACGGGAGCACTGCGGGTGCAGGCTGTGCGGGCCTTGGGCTTCCACGACACCTCGCGATCAGACATAAAACGTGGCCTTCGTGCCCTCTACCTGGAGATGTTTCTCTCTGGAATTGGAGCCCCCCTGCTAAAGCCATCCTCACACCCCCTGCTCTTGAGGGGGGGCCTAACTGAGCTGAGAGCAAGGCCTGGAAGGATCCTGGGGGCGTGTCCTGAGTGAAGCTGAGCAGTTCAGGTCACACTGGGAATCTGACAAAAGGGACTTCGCTGACTCTGAGCCTGCCAGTTGCTATTGCCTGCACCTCCCCTGCTTGGGCCTGGGAGGGCTGCCCTTACCTGACTCGCAGGTGGGCACTGCGAGAGTCGTTGCCTCCCGCTGAGATCACCCGGCACGTGTATGTGCCGATGTCTCCCGACCACGTCTGTGAGATGTGCAGGGAGCCGTTTCTATCCAGGCGGATACGGGGATTGCTCTCCATGCCCAGGGTGGCTCCGTCCTTCTCCCAGACATACCTAAAAGTAAGAAGAACCCCTAAGTACAGAGGGAGAGGAAGGTGTCTCGGGGGTGGACTCCACCTGGAGCTTGTCCTGAGAATTTAGCTCCAAAGCTGGGCAGGGGACAATTCCAGGCAATAGCCGGCCAGGACAGTGGGACCAGGGAGAGGGACTGTCGAAGGCTGAGCAGGCTGGAAGCCCGTCACTCCTGCAGGGAGGGTGCTGTGTCCAGGGGAGTGAACGCATTAAGTCAAGTCATCATTGGTTGTCACACCTTCAGTTCAGGTTGGGTCAAAGCGTTGCTGCTTCTGGCCAGAAGCGATTGCAAAACAGCCAGCATAAAACAGCCAGTGAAAGGCATTCTTCTGAAGAGGTTAAAAGATTACAGCTGGAAAAAAAAATTCACATTTCCGCATAGACTACATTTCAGAATTAGTTTTACGAGGGGAATCATTATATCAATGCATCACTGTGACAAATTGACTTGAGTGTCCAAAAAATCACTTTAGCTTCGGTCAGTCGGTATAAAGGGGCTTGAGAAATTACACACACACCAGTGCCTGACAAGAAAAAATATCTTCTCTGGAATTGTTCTTGAGGAAATACAACCATTATCATTGTCATCAACATGCAGGAAGTGCCCACCATGGGGGGCAGAATGGCACGCAGCAACCCCAGGGAAGGTTGGCCTTGTTTCTCAGCACAAGTGTGAGGAATCAGGTGGTGGCTGAGATGCTTTGCAAATAGCCCCATTTGAGTGGGGTACAGGGTGGGGGCCTGGGCTGCTGGCTCCCAGGACTATCTGGGTTTACAGAATGTCAGATAATTAGGAAGAGTGACTCTGTAATGTTTTAAACTTAAGTTATAAAGCAGAACCACGGTGGTTCACACTGGTAATCTCAGCAGTTCGGGAGGCTGAGGTGGGTGGATCACCTGAGGTCAGGAGTTCGAGACCAGCCTAGAGACAGGCAAAACGTTGTCTCTCCTAAAAACACAAACACTTTCCAGGCATGGGGGTGGGCACCTGTAATCCCAGCTATCCTTGAGGCTGAGGCAGGAGAATCGTTTAAATCTGGAAAGTGGAGGTTGCAGTGAGCCAAGATCTCCACTGAACTCCAGCCTGGGCGACACAGCAAAACTGTCTCAAAAAAACACAAAATTTCCCTGCAAAAACCATAAGCAGAACCAACAGAAAAGTGAAAAGTACAGGTAAGAAAAAAAAAGAAAGGAAAGGAAAAAGAAAACTCAAACGTTTTCCGATAGTGGGGAACCATGATTGACACTTGAGTGCTCGCATGTCTTCCAGACTCTCCTTCCCTGCCTGGAAAGTTAGTGTGCTGCGGCACCGCTACTTTCAGGAGTCAGACTCTCAGGCCAAATGCTGGCTTTGCTACTTTCCAGCTTTGGATATTGGGTGAATTAATTTGTAAATTAATTAATTTATTTTAGACAGAGTCTCTCTCTGCTGCCCAGGCTGGAGGGCTGTGATGCAGTCTTGGCTCACTGTAGCCTCCACCTCCCAGGTTCAAGTGATTCTCCTGCTTCAGCCTCCCGAGTTGCTGGGATTACAGGCCTGCGCCACCACACCTGGCTAATTTTTTTTGTATTTTTAGTAGGGACGGAGTTTCGCCATGTTGTCCGGACTGGTCTCAAACTCCTGACCTCAAGTGACCCACCTGCCTTGGCCTCCCAAAGTGCTGAAATTACGGGCTTGAGCCACCATGCCTGGCTAGCCATCCTGTTTTTAAAGCTGCTTTTTGACTCAATAAAAATATCATAAATTCTTTTTGACGTGACATTTCCACGCCACCATTTTTATTGGATGCGCATGTCTCAGTACAGTTGCTTTGCAATTTAACCGATCCCATAACACTGGACACCCAGTTTAGCCCCTTCTTTTCTAGTATCACAGTTAATGCTGTGGTCCTTATGGCGAAATGTTTACAACCATCCCCAGTCACTTCCTCAAGGACAAATTATCAGCAGTGAAATTACTGAGTTAGTTTTGAAGGCTTTTAATACCTATATAGAAATCAACAACAGCAATCCCCTTCAATTCACCTCTTTATTTAGGAAGGAGTTACCCTTGCCAGCACTCATAAGATGGGCAGAATTTTGCTTAAAAGCAAATTTAGTTGCAGAGAGTAACTCCCATGTAAGAAACAACCTGTGGCGAGCAGACAGTCTGCTTCAGAATGTGGTGCCTTAGGAAGCAGAGATCACTGCCTGTGAAGTAACTGCCCAAACAACGGAACGTGAATCTAATGAGCAGTTCCTGAAATTGAAAGAAATACAGGGGATAGAAGAACAGCTTAACAGCACCGCGAGAAAGCAGCCAGCCAAATCCAGAGTGTTGAATATTCCATAGCAGGACCTGCTGCCTGCTTGTGCAAATAAAGTTTTGTTAGAACACAGACATGCCCATCTGTTGACATATGGCTGCTTTAGCGGCATAAGCAGAGTTGAGTAGTCATGACAAGACCATATGGTTCTCTTAAAGCCTAAAATGTTTACTCTTTGGTCCTTCACAGCAAAGATTGCTGGCCTCTGTCTTTTAAAACCTGGTTTCTCTAATAAATCAATTATGTAAAAACAAAACAAGAAAAAAGACAAAAATAAAAAAGAAGTACTTTCAACAAACAGTGCTGGAAGAGCTTGACAACCACATGCAAAAAAAGAAAAAAAAAGAAAAAAGAAAGAAACTAGACAGACACAGATCTTTCACCCTTCACAAAAATTAACTCAAATTGGATCACATACCTAAATGTAAAATGCAAAGCTATAAAACTCCTAGAAGATAATACAGAGGAAAATCTAGATGACCTTGGGTTTGGCAATGACTTTTTAAATACGACACCCAAGGCACAATCCATGAAGGAAAGAACAGATAAGCTGGATTTCACTAAATTAAACATTGCTGCTCCTCCACAGACACTTTCAAGAGAATAAAAAGAGAAGCCACACACTAGAAGAAAATACTTGTAAATGATATCTCTGATCAAGCACTGCTATCCAAAATATATGAAGAACTCTTAGAACCCAGCAATACGAAAACAATCTGATTAAAAAATAGCCCTTGATGGATGCCTCACCAAAGAAGGTACACAGAAGACCAATAAGCAAGTGAAAAGATGTTGCACATTGAACGGCATTAGGGAAATGCGAATTAAAACAATGCTGAGACATCACAACACAGCTATTAGAATGGCCAAAATCTGGCTGGGCTTGGTGGCTCATGCCTATAATCCCAGCACTTTGGGAGGCTGAGGCAGGTGGATCACCTGAGGCCAGGAGTTCGAGACCAGTCTGGCTAAGGTGGTAAATCCCCATCTATACTAAAAACACAAAATTAGCCGGGTTTGGCGGCAGGCACCTGTAATCCCAGCTACTCAGGAGGCTGAGGCAGGAGAATCGCTTGGACCCGGGAGGTGGAGGTTGCAGTGAGCCAAAATTACACCATTGCACTTGAGCCTGGGTGACAAGAGTGAAACTCTGTCTCAAAAGGGGGTGGGGGGAAGAGAAGAATGGCCAAAAACCAGAGCAACGACACCACCAAATGCAGGCAAGGAGAGTGCTCACTCAGTGCTGGTGGGAATGAAGAAGGATATTGCCACTTTGGAAGACAGTTTGGTGAGTTCCTACAAAACTGAGTATTCTCTTACTATTATTTTTCATAATAAAAAAAGTTGAAAAAAGTAAAACAACCCATGAGTTTATTCAATTCAAATAGGATAGAAACTTTCCTAACAATCTGCTGTTCTATAACTGGCGATTAAGCAGTTTTGATAAGTGATTTTCAGGGTCCTTTTGGATTTAGGTGACAACAGCCCTCAGGACCTCAAAGATGTGCCAAAAGGTTTAGTCACAAGGACATTCGTAGTTCTGTTTTTCTTTCTTTCTTTCCTTCTTTTTTTTTTTTTTTTAGAGATGGGGTCTCACTATGTTACCCAGGCTGGACTCAAGTGATCCTCCTGTCTTGGCCTCCCAGAGTGCAAAGATTATAAGCGTGAGCCACCATGCCTGACCAATAGCGATATTTCTTAATATTAGCAAAATTTTAGAAGTAATCCAAATTCCTTCAATAGAGAACTGGTAAACATAAATTATGTCATATCCACACAATGGACTGCTGAATAATTATGCAATTAAGTTTACACAAAAATACTTATTTATGTGGAAAGAGACTCATAATAGGTTCTTAAGGGAAAATCAGATTAACAAACAGCATTTTCTAGTTTGAAATGACATCCGGATATTTTTAGTGATGATCTTGAATTGAAGGGAACAGATATTTCTACCTTTTCTTTCTCATTTTTAAAATTGTTTGCTCATGAGAATTTTCTGTGTTTTTCTCCAAAAATGGAATGGCTTAGTTGTATAATAAGAAAAAATGAAAATATTTATTAATATTAATAATGCTATTAATATTAATATTAACAAGTTAAAAGAACTTGTTCTAACCCAGTGCAAAGAAACTAAGAACTTTGAAAAAAGATTTGATAAAATGCTAACAAGAATAGACATAAAGAGAGGAATATAAGTGAATTAACAGAGTTGAAAAACACAACACGGGAACTTCGCGAAGTAAGCACAAGTTTTAACAGCTGAATTGATCAAGCAGAAGAAAGGATATCAGAGGTCAAAGACCAACTTAATGAAATAAAACGAGAAGACAAGAATAGAGTAAAAAGGATAAAAAGGAATGAGCAAAGTCTCCAAGAAATATGGGACTATGTGAAAAGACCTAATCTACGTTTGATAGGTGTACCTGAATATGACGAAGAGAATGAATCCAAGCTGGAAAATACTCTTCAGGATATTATCCAGGAAAACTTTCCCAACCCAGCAAAGCAGGACAATATTCAACTCCAGGTAATACAGAGAACACCACAAAGATATTACTCAAGAAGAGCAACCCCAAGGCACATAATTGTTAGATTCACCAGGGTTGAAATGAAGGAGAAAATACTAAGGGCAGCCAGAGAGAAAGGTAGGGTTACCCACAAAGGGAAGCCTATCAGACTCACAGCAGATCTCTCAGCAGAAACTCTACAAGCCAGAAGAGAGTGGGGGCCAATATTCAACATCCTTAAAGAAAAGAACTTCCAACCCAGAATTTCATATCCAGCCAAACTAAGCTTCACAAGCAAAGGAAAAATAAAATCTTTTGTGAACAAGCAAGTACTCAGAGATTTCATCACCACCAGGCCTGCTTTACAAGAGCTTCTGAAAGAAGCATTAAACAACCAGCCTTTCCAAAAATATACCAAAAAGCAAAGAGCATCAACATAATGAAGAATTTACATCAACTAATGGGCAAAACAGCCAGCTTACATCAAATGGCAGTAATAAACTCACATATATTATTATTAATCATAAATTTAAATAGACTAAATCCCCCAATCAAAAGACATAGCCAAAATCCATCAGTATGCTACATCCAGACCCACCTCACATGCAAGGATACACAAAGACTCAAAGGGATGGAGAAAGATTTACCAACCAAATGGAGAGCAAAAATAAATAAATAAATAAAAAGCAGGAGTTGCAATTCTCACCTCTGATAAAATAGATTTTAAAGCAACAAAGATCAAAAGAGGCAAAGAAGGTCATTACATAATGGTAAAAGGATCAATGCAACAAGAAGAGCTAATGATCCTAAATATATATGCACCCAATACAGGAACACCCAGATACATAAGACTTATAAAGAGACTTAGACTCCCACACAGTAAGAGTGGGAGACTTCAACATCAATATTAGATAGATCAATGAGAGAGAAAATTAACAAGGATATCCAGGACTTGAACTCAGATCCGGAACAAGTAAACTTAATAAACATTTATAGAACTCTCCACTTTAAATACACAAAATATACACTCTCAACAGTACCACATCACACTTACTCACAGGTTTAAATAAAATACTGGTTGGCTGCTTATTTGTTATTTTCTTCCCTCATTTTTTCCTGTCTCCATTATTAAGCACAATTACTGGCATAAAAGAGGTTTTCAATACCCATTTTTAGACTGCATTCTAGCCAGGGCAATAAAGCAACACTCCCGTTCTCTCTCCCTCTTCCTCTTCCTCTTTCTTCCTCTTCTTCATTTTTCTTTCTCTCTCTCTCTCTCTTTTTCCTTTCTTTTTCTTTTTTTTCCAAAATAAAATAAAATTAGAGTCAGCCAGGTTCAGTAGCTTATGCCTGTAATCCCAGCTGAGGTGGGAGAATTGCTTGAGCCCAGGAGTTGGAGACCAGCCTGGGCAACAAAGTGAGATCACATTTCTACAAAAAAATAAGAAAAGTATCCAGGTGTGGTGGCCTATGCCTGTGGTCCCTCAGCTACTCAGGAGCCTGAAATGGAAGGATTACTTGAGCCAAGGAGATGGAGGCTGCAGTGAGCCATGAACATGCCACTGCACTCCAGCCTGGGTGACAGAGCAGGACCATGTCTCAAAAAAATAGAGTCCAAGGACACATAGGTATCAACTGGTTAGGTCCTCAAGGGCAGAAGGTAGGAAAGAAGTCACTGGAATCCAGGACTAAAGGATTCTAAAGCACCTCCCTGCCCTCTGTAATCCTATCTAAACTTTAAGGTCCAGGTCAAGTACATGTATTTTGGGAAGCCCTTCAGGATCATGTCAAAATTCATCACCATTACTTTTGGCCTTCCACAGAATATACTTGGACCTTTATTTTAGTGACAGCAGAGCACAGACCATTAAATATAGAAAGCCCTTATGAGAGTAATTAATTCCACACGCACACACAAAAATAATGGCTAAAAGTAGATTGATCAGATTTGGTCCAGCTCTGGGCTCAGATCCCACATAGAAGTGCTTTTTTCTTAAAGCGTTTTGGAGGTTTTCATGCTGGAAGCCTGCAGCTGGCCGGTCCTCACCCCTGCACCTGGCCCGACCCTCACTCCTGCACCTGGCCCGACCCTCACCCCTGCACCTGGCCGACCCTCACCCCTGCACCCGGCTCTGCTCTGAGAACATGTTACTCAGGCTTCAGCGGCAGCACTTTAGTCTGATTTGGTTGTTGAGATATTTTGTATTAATTTGGTGCAAAAGTAATTGCAGTTTTGGCCATTCCTTTCAAGGGGGAAACTGCAGTTATGTTCGCACCCACCTCCTGCTGTGTTTCACAGCTAGAGCAGGGCTTTCAATCCTGGTGACACATTAGAATCCCCCAGGGAGCTTTTTAAAAATGCCGAGGTCTGGGTCCCACCCCATTCCCAAGATCTATCTCAAGATGGATGCAGCAAACCACCATGGCACATGTATATCTATGTAACAAGCCTTCACGTTCTGCACATGTACCCCATAACTTAAAGCATAATAAAAAATATATTAATTTTATATATTAAAAAAGTGCCGAGGTCTGGGTCACACCCCACCCCCAAGACATGTCTAAGGAAGACAGGCTGGGGTGGGAGCTAAAGGGCATAGTGGCCTTGGGCATAGACATTGCCAATTTTAGGGGGGAATGAGGGGATGATTCTTCTCCCCACCCCCATCTTGAAAAGATGGCCCTAGATGGTTAATTCTATTTAAGGTGAGGACCCCCCTTCAGTAATCTGGAACACGGATTTCTGACCTGTAGGTCACTGGGGGAGGAGGGGCGCTAGAGAGCCGGTCTAAGGGTTACATTGTAAGAAACCCCTGAATCTCATCATGCATCAGTAACTGTCTAGAGAACGAATACAATGCATGTTTTCTCAAATATAAGTTGGCACTTTTATAAATAAGTCATCTTTATAAAGATGACATTTTTATAAATAAAATCTGATTTAAAGTGTACTGAACTGATACATACAGCCTTTTGTTATTACAGAATTTCCCAATTACTGAACGCTAAAAGTATAGCTACTACATAATGAATGGGCCTGAGATGCACAGCAGTATTCTACATGGGTTCTCTCCCAGGACCTTTCTTACAGTCTGTATGTTAATTTTTAAAGAAAAATCTGTCAAACCCAGAAATAAGCATATTCTGGAATCTCTGTCAACAATCTTCTAACTATTAACACATCTACGTACATTTTTGCATTCGTGCTAGCATCACACGATGACCGCCTTAAGTGGCCAACACTTAATGAGGTGTTTCTCAAACTGGGGCCTCCGATGTGTTCTCTGAGAATCAGTGTTGGCCGAAAGCCCAGAGCCCCTAGTGCCGACCCGGGCTCCCGATTTAATGTGGCTGTACAGACTGTCACAGGCCCAGTGGCCACCAGATGGCGCCCCAGGACGCAGCTGCCTCCGACTCGAGGAGAAGGAGGCCATTTCTGCCAGTGCAGGAGTGCCGGCCCCTTCCAGCCTCGATGCCAGTTGCTTTGACAGTGGTATTGCTCATAATATAGAGAAGCAACATGCAGGGAATATTTATTTCTAAGGACGCAGTTGCATTTCCCTCAGCATTCTGGAGCTCAAGGCAGAGAAGACAGGCCGTTTCCTCTTGGTTTAAGCTTCCAAAGCCTTGGGGGTGGGGGCAGGGTTTGGTCCAGGGGCATGGGAGGGGTCCCGGCTTTTATACCTTTCTTGGCTGCTTCCTCCCAGCCCCTTTAGTGGCTTCCACAGCGGGACTGAGTTCCCTGGAAGCCAAGTCCCTTGTCAGTGTCCCCCCTACCCGGCTTGGCCCTGGCAGATGGTGGGGTGACCTCGGGATGGACGCTCAATTTCCCTCATGTGCCTCTCTGGGAGGCTTCCCCCAGGACTCATCTCCTGCCCCACACCTATAGCTGACTCATGTCTGCCTGCCCAGACCCCTCCGCTGCCCATTCAGAGGCCAGAGGGCCTAAGCCTTGGGGTGGGGTGGGGGACACTAGCCAGAGAGGGCAACTCCCTGCCTTTTGTGCTTACCAACCCACAAGCCTCTTTCTTTCCCCCTCCCTCGCCCCCTCCTCCATTCCTCTTTCCTTCATCTTTCTGCATCTCTTCCTCTTTCCCTCCCACTTTGGAAACTGGCTTAACTCAGCCCAGGGTAGCTCAGCTCCCAGGTATTCACTTCGCATCCCCTACCTCTCAGCCCTGCACTCAGCTCCTCTGCCCAGGAGCAGGCGTGGCTCTGCAGCTCTCACCTCCCTGGTGTGGACACTTGCCCAGCGGCAGGCCACTGCCAGACGTGCCCCCTCCCCTCTGGCCTGGAGTCAACAGCAGGGGCCAGTACCTGATGGTCACCCGGGGGTCGTGGGTCACTCCACACACCATGGAGGCCTGGGTGCCCTTGATGACGCTCTGGTCCTGGGGCGGCTTGGTGATGCGGGTCCGGGCTGAAAGGGACAGCGGAGACAGCATGGTGAGAAGGGGTGTGGGGCCGTGTGGCTGGACTCTGAGTGGATGAAGGCAGACCAGATACCATAGCGAAAGTCCCCAGATGGTTACAGAACAACACGCTCCCTGGTACTTTAATTCTCAAAGCCGCATCATAGTGGGGGCTTATGAAATTTTGCTCTCACAAACCATGGGTGGGATTGAGAGACCAAATTCTATGGATAATCAAGATTGTATTTTTAGCATATCAGTGGTCTGGCCAGGGTCAAAATAGGGTTTTTCTAGTCTAGTGCTTCACCCACCAGGGCCCCTAGGCTCAGCCCAGACAAGTGGCCCACAGGTATCTTGGGGGTGGATCCCAAGTTGGAAGTGACGTGAGAAGTTCCGTTACAGCAGGGGTCGGCTAACTACAGGCTGGGGGCCCAATCCGGCAGGTGGCCTTTCTGGCTAAATAAACCCTTACTGGAACACGGCTCTGCCCACTGCATGACGTACCGTCTGTGGCTGCTTTCTAGATAAAACGGAAGTTAGTTGAGTACTTGTGACAGAGACTGTCTGGCCCACAAAGCTTAAAATATTTACGATCTGGCTCTTTCTTGAAAAAATTTGCCAATTTCTGCCCTAAAGTATATGAAGACAACTCTCCTATAACCTCAGTGTTCTCTCAAGCTGGCCAAGCATGGCATCATTGGCAAAGCATCCCTAGTCCCTGGGCTCTGAATCACTTTGTCACTGTCCCTCTGATGAGAAGGGCCCTGGCTGGGACAGACAATGGGGTGGAGACCCTGGTGGTGTGAGCCGGGACAGCTCCGTAGCTGTCCCGAGCCCTCAGCGGCTGCAGGGATGTACACACGCACACACAGATGTATAAAGCCTCGTGGCTTGTACACACGCACACACGGATGTATAAAGCCCCGTGGCTTGTACACACACACACGCACGGATGTATAAAGCCCCGTGGCTTGTACACACGCAAGCATGGATGTATAAAGCCCCGTGGCTTGTACACACGCACGCACGGATGTATAGAGCTCCATGGCTTTTACACACACACACACACACGGATGTATAGAGCCCCGTGGCTTGTACACATGAGATGTATAAAGCCCCATGGCTTGTACACATGCACACACAGTTGTATTAAGCTCTGTGGCTCTGCACACTCACCCCAAACAACTAGGTCTGCCGAGGCCTCGTCGACCCCCCGAGAGTTGGTTGCCAGGCAGGTGTAGGTCCCCGCATCGGAGATGTGTGTGGGGCTGATGAGAAGGCTGCCTGACTCCAGGGGCGTGAAGCGAGGCAGCTGCACGGAGCCGCTGGCCAAGATGCGTTCCCCTGAGGGCAAAACACAGTGAGGGTCGGCCTGTAACCTCCCCCCGACCAAGGGCACACCTGTCCCTCTGTGGCTTCTCCAGGGAAGCGTGGGCCCTGCAGGCCCCTGTTTCTGGAAATGCTGGAAGGAATGAGGACAGATGGCAGTGGGGCTGGGATGGGGGCTGAGACCCGGAGAGCTTTCTGGCTTAGGGATGGGCACGAGGGCATAGGGTCTCAGAGCAGGCAGCCCAGTGCCGATGTCCCCCAATGCTCCTGTGCCAGCCACACCATGTGCCCTTCACCAGAGAAGGGGGCGCAGTTTTCTGATGACGGTGAGCAGCAGCCCGGCACAGCCCTCAGAGGCAGCTGGCACCTGGGTGGGGGGGCTGGGGGGGGACAGCTCTGACAAGGTGATGACAGGCATCCTGCGGCAGGATGCTTCTGGAGAGAGTCACCTTCAAGGGAGGGGAGGGAAGTGATGGGAGCCGCCTGGAGTGGGGGTGGGGTAGAGAGGGACACGGTGTCCCCCAGCAGCAGCCCTGACCGGGACAGACCTCCTTCTGCAGAGGACCCAGGGAGCCTGGTGCCCAACCTGGGAGGGTCCTGGCTGGAGAAAGAGGGGGAGAAAGAGAGAGCACAGGTGCACCTGCGGGAGTGAGCCTGCGAATGTCGGTCTTTGTGACTATGTCTGTTTTAAAGAAAACCCCCTTCTCTGTGTGGAGGGGAATCTCCATGTGTGCAGCTGGGGGTTGAGAGTGTTCATTTGTACATGTGTGCAGGTGCAGTGCACTGCTGAGTGTGTTGGTGGATGTGTTTATTTCCATGTGTAAGCACGAGCCTAGGTGTGCCCATATTATCCCCACAAATGTTAATTGAGTGGCCACTGTGTGCCAGACCCTGTTCCAGGTCCTAGGAGATAGTAGTGGTCAAAACCGATGCCCCTCACTTTGCAGGGAGACAGGCCATGAGCCAGGTGAATAAGCCGATGACCAGTGTGTGAGAAGGTGGGGAGTATAGGAGGCAGGGCTCAAGGGGAGGGCTGGGGGAGGCAGGGCTCAAGGGGAGGGCTGGGGGAGGCAGGGCTCAAGGGGAGGGCTGGGGAGGCAGGGCTCAAGGGGAGGGCTGGGGGAAGCAGGGCTCAAGGGAAAGGCTGGGGGCTGGGGCAGGGCGAGTCCTTGAAGGAGGCACCTCTGAGCTGGGGCTTGCAGGTGTGAAGGAGCAACTATGTTGGCATGTGTGTGTGTGTGTGTGTGTGTGTGTGTGTGTGTGCAGGGAGAGTCACGAAGAGAAGTGGAGAAGAGGAAGCACACAGGGCAGATGGACTTGGGGAGGTGGCTTGGGCTTTGCTGGCTCTGCCGTCTGGAGCCCTCTGAGCTGCCCAGGGTAGGAGGGATGGCCTCCTACCTGCGCTGGTGATAGCCACTGCCAGAATAAGATTCATCATCTTATTTTGCTCCCAGGCACAATGCGGGCCCCTCACGTGCATGCTACAGTCTAGTCTTCGCGTCACCCTGGGGTATGTATATTATCGTCACTGGTTTACAGATGGGGAACCCGAGGCTCAGAGTGAGTTCATAACACCCAGGTAGCAGGTCCTGGAAGATGAAAAGCTGGGCCTTGAGCCTGGCGAGGCTGAAATGTAAGGGATACTCTCTCACTCTCTTTTTTTTTTTTTTTTTTGTTTGAGATGGAGTCTTGCTCTGTTGCCTAGGCTGGAGTGCAATAGCGCCATCTTGGCTCACTGTAGCCTCTCCCTCCCAGGTTCAAGTGATTCTCCTATCTCAGCCCACTGAGTAGCTGTGATTACAGCCACCTGCCACAACACCTGGCTAATTTTTGTACATTTAGTAGAGACAGGGTTTCAGCACTTTGGGCCAGGCTGGTCTTGAACTCCTGACCTCAGGGCAATCTGCCAGCCTTGGCCTCCCAAGGTGCTAGGATTACAGGCATGAGTCACCGCGCCCCATTGAGATGCTCTCTTGGGTTGTGCAGTGCACCACCTTCGCAAGTGTACCTGGGGAACCCAACCTGACTGGTTCCAGAACCTAGTTCTGAAGACTGTCCTAGGCCATCACATGGCCACACTCTCTGAAGGTCTGTCCCATCTACCTTTCTGCCAAGTGATAGCTGGCCGGGGCGCCCCCGAGGTCTCACATGCTAGCACCACTGACATGCCATCGATCACCGTGCTGTCCAGGGGGCCTCTGGTGATGTTGGGGGCGATGCCTGCAAACAGAGAAGTGGGGCCTTTTAGCCACAGCCTGGAAGCAGTGCCCCAAGCCAGAGGTTCAGGGAGGCCCACCGAGGGTCAGTCCCTCATCCTCCCCTGCCATGGTGAGGGGCCCTCCATGAGGAAGGATGTTAGCATCTTCATGGGGCCCCAGTGTTGAAAAGAAGCCCAAGGGGCCATGAGGACTCCCCTATGCCACCTGCCCTGTGGAGGGACCCAGGTGACACCAGTGACACCCTGCTTGGATTCTCAGGCCTACATATGGGGGAAACTGAAGACCCCAGAGGGCAGTTCACATCCTCCCTGACAAGGTTATTGGGGTTCATGAGCCAACAATGAAAGGAAGGCTCTGGCTGCTTAAAAGAAAAACAGCCGCAGCCAAGAGGGGGACTTCAGTCACTTTCTAAGTGGCCCTGCCCCAGGAACTCCATTCAGCCTTGGCCCTGTGTAGGGTCGGGGCAGCCTCCTGGCTCTGCACTCCCCTCGCCTTATCCCAGCCCTCGAGGAAGGAGCTTGCCAGACAGGCATGGGAACAGAGCTAGGTTCATCTGTGCTGGGAAGCCAGAAGCAAGACAGCAGCCCCTTGGTAGCCATCTTCGGGGCACACCCAAAAGCCCCCTGCCCCACGGCTGCCCCGTCTGAGGCCTCTGTGGGTCTGGGTGACAAACCGTGTGGGGCTCAAGGACATCCCTGAACATCCCATGCTGCCCAGAGGAGCGCACTGTGCTCTGTACTTACACAGAACTTTGCGCCGTGGGCCACTCACAGTATCATCTTCCCCCCCTGCCCATTTTTTTTTTTGAGACAGAGTCTCACTCTGTCACCCAGGCATGAGTGCAGTGGTGCCATCTTGGCTCACTGCAACCTCTGCCTCCTGGGCTTAAGCAGTCCTTTCACCTCAGCGTCCCAAGTAGCTGGGAGTACAGGTGTGTGCCACCATGCCCGGCTAATTTTTTGTATTTTTGGTAGACGAGGTTTTGCCATGTTGCCCAGGCTGGTCTCAAACTCCTGGGCTCGAGCGATCCACCCGCCTTGGCCTCCCAAAGTGCTGGGGTTACAGGTGTGAGCCACCGCGCACTGCCCACAGGGTCACCTTTGATGGCTTAAACAGCTCCGTGAAGCGGCCGGGGCTACTGTGACAATCCCTGACAGAGACTCCAAGGGGAAAGGGATTTGCAAGCGGGAGAACTAAGAGAAAACCACTAGTTCTCTTCTTTGGAAACATGAGCAGGTCCTCTGAGCTAGGGAATGGGGTCGATTCAGCCCTGCCTGGAACCCAGGGACAGCTGAAATGCCAGGGCTGGTATACCTGGCTGGTTTCATAGCTCCTTTTCTCAAAAAGCCACGAACCCAACCTGGGCCCCAGGACATTGGAGAGAACTTCTAGGGACTGGAGATTCTTCCAGGGTGCTGGACTCAAGGCTGCAGAAGCAGCAGGGGTAACTGGCATGTGCCCCCAGGGTGCTGGGCAGCGGGCAGCTTTTGGGGATCCTGTCTGCATAATGGAGCATGCTGTGCTCAAGAGGCCCCTTGGAAGACCTCGGAAGAAAGCCATGTCTTGGGAAGGACTCAGGGGCAGGATAAGGGAGGCCCGACTTACTGGTGACAGCTAGGTAGGTGGAAGTTTGCACCTCGCCGGCCGAATTGCGGGCAAAGCATTGGAACATGCCGGTGTCGTCGGGCACCAGGCCACTGATCTGCAGGCCCCCATCGCTGCGCTGCCGGAAGCGGGCCAGCTTCTCCACCTCCACCACTGCGGCATCCTTGTACCAGCTGATGGAGGGTGGTGGCACACCTGTGGGGGAGACGTGGGCCCACCGTCAATCCGCCTCCTGCCTCCTCACCGCCTCCCAGGGGTGCTTGGGAGAAGCTGGGCTGGGAAATCTGCCAGGGGGTCCCTGGTGAATCTGGGTGTCTAGAACCTTCTCAGGGGTGCCACTTTGGGTCTTGGGAGATGGAGAGGATGCTCTTAGAGTGGCAATTCTCGAAGTCTTTGGGATATAGTAAATATCCTGGGATCAGGGCAGCATGGAAATGCTGGATTGGACAAACTAATTTCTTATTTGTTTTATTTTTATTTCTACTTGTGTAGAGATGGGGTCTTGCTATGTTGTCCAGGTCAGTCTAGAACTCTTGGTTTCAAGCGTTCCTCCCACTTCAGCCTCCCAAAGTGCTGGGATGGCAGGCATGAGCCACTGCACCTGGGCTTTCTTATTTATTTTTTATTTTTAAAACTTATGAGATGGAGTCTCGCTCTTGTTGCCCAGGCTGGAGTGCAGTGGCGTGATCTTGGCTCACTGTAATCTCTACCTTCCAGGTTCAAGAGATTCTCCTGCCTCAGCCTCACCAGTAGCTGGGATTACAGGCATGCACCACCACGGCTGGCTAATTTTATATTTATAGTAGAGATGGGGTTTCTCCATGTTGGTCAGGCTGGTCTTGAACTCTCAACCTCAGGTGATCCACCCGCCTCGGCCTCCCAAAGTGCTGGAATTATAGGTATGAGCTACTGTACCTGGCCCAATTTCTTATTTTTTATTGAAGTACTTAGCAGACCCGTGTGCTCTGGGAACCCCCAAGTGGAGCATGCTTCCCCAAACCCATGGCAGCCTGTGTTTGAGAGTACATAGAGGATCCAGTGTTCTCTGGGGGCACTTGGAAGCCCCCATTCCCGCTTTGCACATGGAGGTGAAAGGAGCCTCCTCTTGTCCTCTCAGCCTGGCATGTTGTTTTCAGAAGTTCCCCCAGCCGGGCTGGGTGAGGTGGCTCACACCTATAATCTCAGCACTTTGGGAGGCTGAGGCGGGTGGATCACTTGAGTTCAGGAGTTCAAGACCAACCTGACCAACATGGTAAACCCTGTCGCTACTAAAGATAGAAAAATTAGCCGGGTGTGCTGGTGCATGCCTGTAGTCCCAGCTACTGGGGAGGCTGAGGCAGGAGAATCTCTTGAACTCAGGAGGCAGAGATTGCAATGAGCCGAGATTGTGCCACTGCACTCCAGCCTGGGTGACAGAGCAAGACTCCATATTGACAAAAAAGGAAAAAAAAAAAAAAAAGAAGAAGTTCCCCCAGCCCTCCCCTTAGTCTCTCCAGATGTCTGCTCAAAAGTGACCTCCCCGGAAGAGTGGACCACGCCCTGTCCCAAGGAGTACCTCACGGGCCCGTCCCCCCTAAGCCTGCTTGCCTTCCCTCCCCAGGACTCCCCATCCTGACAGCCTGTGATGCTTCATTCCACCATGTGCTCTTTCCCTCAGTCACGTCTCTGAGATCAGGACGTGTCTTATAATCGACAGCATGTCATAATTTAATTGGGTGTCTTTTTTCTTTCTTAGTGGTACATAAAATAATGGGGCATCTTACAACCCATGGCATTTTAGATGAAGTGAAATAAGGTATCTTTATTTGTTTATTGGCCTTCCCGTCTCCCTCCTGAGAATGTTAGGGATCTGGCTGTTTGGTTTATTCCATGTCTCCCCACTCCTGAGGACGCTATTGGCACATGGTAAGCCCTCAAAAAACATTTGCTGCCTGCCTGGATGGATCTTTGCCTTCCCCTCGTGGATTCTCAGAAGGGAAGTCATTACTCATCCCCTCCAGCGCAATTCTCACTCCTGCAGAGCTACATTTTGCCCCTTTGCTCAGCGTGTCCCACCGTGCACACTTTTCTCTCTTTATCATCCTACATTTCACCCTGGCTGCGGCTGTCTTTTGGTGGAACTGAATCAGAAGGGAGGACGGTGGGGAAGGGGAAAGCAGAAATTCTTCAGGAACTCTTCCAAGCGGGGGTTAAGTAGGAATAGTGGGGGGAGCCGGCAGAGGAGACGGAGCAAAATGACCCGGGAAATAGGCCAAGCTTATAAGACACATCTCAGGTGAGGCGCGTCCGGGTGCTGCTGGTTCTGGCATTATGGTAATTTGGCATTGTCTACGGCTCTCAAATTATGGGCAATTTGGGTCTGTCACCTGTCCTGAAATTATGGTAATTTGGGTTCATTTGTAACCCTCGAGTTACGGTACCGTAAAGGTTGATTTCCAGCCCGAGAATACGGTAATTTGGCCTGTTTGTTTCCCGGGGTGCCTGCTCAGACAGCCAGCCAGACTATTCTTAGTGACACGGTCGTGAGAAGCAGCTGGGATGTGGAAATGTTCATGACAAGGACAAGAGAGGCTGAGGGACTGGGGTCTTTGTCCCCCTCCATCTGTGCTACCTCATTACCTTTGGCCCGACAGGGGATGTCCACCACTTTCTCCATCTCTGCAGTGATGTGTCTTTCTGGCTCTTTGACAAACTGAGGTGGTTCTGTTGGAGGAAGGACCGGGGAGGGGATCAGAGCCGTGCTCCCTTCATCCAGCCACAGTGTGGGTCACCCATAAGGAGGCCCCTCAGCATGCTACCCCTACCCCTCAGGGGAGCCCGAGCAGCCCTGCCCTGTCTCACCCAGCACGGAGAGGTAGGCACCCCGGACCACAGAAGGGACGCTGCTGCTGCGCAGGACAGCCTCACACTCATAGTAGCCCGCGTCGCTGGCGGTGGGGTTGGGGATGGTGAGCCGGCGGTTGTGGTCGCTGATGCCGCCTGACAGCAACACCCCGTCCTTCTTCCAAATGATGTGCAGCTTGATCAGGGGCCTGTGGAGGGCAGGGGAAGGCCAGTGTTCAGCCATGAGGATGCCCGGAGGCCCGAGAGGCAGGGCCGGGGTTGGCAAGGAGTGTGGGCTCGGGAGCCGGGCTGCCTAAGTTTGCCACCTTCCTACCACTTTGTGGATGCAAGATCTCGGGCAAGTTCCTACAGGGATCTGGGTCTCAGTTTCCTCTTCTATAAAGTGGGTGCATCTGTGCCTGCCCCGGGGGTTGTAGCTAAGATGAATGCACTGGTGCCAGTGGAATGCTTGGAACAGGGCTTGCTGATGGCCTTGGGATTCGGTCCTGCCTGGGCTCGGCAGCTCAGGCAAAGCAGGAAAGCGGCTTGGCTTGCAGCTCCTTTTTCTGGTTTTTCCTGTGTGCTGTGCCCCATCCAACCACAACATGGAGGACATGAGGGTGAGGGCAAGTGACAGAAACATGAAATACCCAGAGTTTGAAAAGGGGAAATAAGGACAGATCAGACAGACAGACAGACAGACAGACACAGACAAACCCACCCACAACTGCGAGAGGAGAGCGGTGTGAGTCTGGCCCGGCTTTCCTCTATCCCAACCCCTGCACTACCAGCCCTCTGAGACTTGGTCTGCCAGGCTTTCCACCTGCTGAGTCCTTGAGGGTGGATCTTCCAAAGTGAGCCCCTGCTAGCACCATGGGGTATTCAGAGGGGCCCCGTGGAAAAGGAGCTCTGTGGCCACCTATATTTGGGAAACAGCGGCTTGAGTGATGCTGGGCGGGTTCTTTGCTGCGGGGCTTCTTAGGGCCTTTGCTGCACGGTTGCATCCTGCTGGCCTTGCTCATGTGCCCGGGTTTGCATCTGTGTCCCCTCCAAGTCTCATGTGGAAGCGTGATCCCCAATGTTGGAGGTGGGGCCTGGTGGGAGGTGCTGGGTCATGGGGGTGCGTCCCTCGTGATTGGCTTGGTGTTACTCCCTTGCTGATGGAGTTTTTTTTTTTTGAGACAGAGTCTCGATTTGTCGCCAGGCACCAGGCTTGAGTATGGTGGCATGATCTGGGCTCACTGCAACCTCTGCCTCCTGGTTCAGGCAATTCTCCTGCCTCAGCCTCCTGAGCAGGACTACAGGCCTGTGCCACCATGCCCAGCTAGTTTTTGTATTTTAGTAGAGATGGGGTTTCACCATGTTGGCCAGGATGGTCTTGATCTCTTGACCTCGTGATCTGCCCGCCTCAGCCTCCCAAAGTGCTGGGATTACAGGCCTGTGCCACCATGCTCAGCTAGTTTTTGTATTTTAGTAGAGATGGGGTTTCACCATGTTGGCCAGGATGGTCTTGATCTCTTGACCTCGTGATCCGCCCGCCTCAGCCTCCCAAAGTGCTGGGATTACAGGCGTGAGCCACCGTGCCCAGCCTGCAGTGAGTTCTTACTCTGTAGCTCATGTGAGAGCTGGTTATTTAAAGCACCCTAGCTCCTCCTCCTCTCTCTCGTTACTTCTCTTGCCGTGAGACACGTGGGCTCCCCTTTTTCCTTCCACCATGATTGGAAGCTCCCTGAGGCCTCCCCAGAAGCAGATGCTGGTTCCATGGTTTATGTACAGCCTACAAAGCCGTGAGCCAAATAAACCTCTTTTCTTTGCAAATCATTGTGTCTCAGGTATTCCTTTATAGCAATGCAAATGGGCTAATACTTCATGCTGTGAGAAACTTGGGATTGGAAGAGCATACTTTTAGAAATGCTGCTAAAAACAGTAACAACAGAAAAGGGCTGGGCATGGTGGCTCACATCTGTAATCCCAGCACTTTGGGAGGCTGAGGCACTTGAACCTAAGAGTTTGAGACCAGTCTGGGCAATATAGTGAGACCCCATCTTAAAAAAAAAAAAGAAGAAATGCTGCTACATGACACACTCTTTCCCCAGGAAGGCTGAGGTCAAGGGGACCTCGGGGGGGATCATCAGTCTAACCCCCCAGCCATCCCATTGGTTTAACTTCACAGTGCATTTAGGAAAGGTCAGGTTAGGCTGGGTCAGTGTGCTGCCTATGCATCTTCCACTGAGGTTGGTGCTCAGATCATTCCTATTTTACAGATGTGGAGACTAAGGCTCAGAGTGTGGCAGTGAGTACAGGCCTGGGGGGAGGGGGCAGTGGATCTCAACTCAGCTATCATCCAGCTGAGTGACGTTGGGCAGGCTGCTTGCCCTCTCTCGGTTCTGGAGTGGTGACACCTCTGCCATGCAGTTGTTTTGGGAGAAAGGAGGTGGTGTGGGAAGGCACTTAGCATGGTGCATAGCATGGGAAGTCACTTAGCTGCACATGATGAAACTCAGGGGTTACATAAGTGTTTCCTTTGCGGGAGAGGTGAGGGCCACACATGGCTGGGAAGGGCCCTGGTGGCTCTCAACCCCTGATCTGCCCTCCTACAAAGCCTGTACTCTTTTTTTTTTTTTGAGATGGAGTTTCACTCTTGTTGCCCAGACTGGAGTGCAATGGTGCGATCTCAGCTCACCGCAACCTCTGCTTCCTGGGTTCAAGTGATTCTCCTGCCTCAGCCTCCCAGGTAGCTGGGATTACAGGCATGTGCCACCATGCCTGGCTAATTTTTATCTTTAGTACAGACAGGATTCTCCATGTTGGTCAGGCTGGTCTCGAACTCCCGACCTCAGGTGATCTGCCCACCTCAGCTTCCCAAAGTGCTGGGATTACAGGCGTGAGCCACCGTGCCCTAAGCCTGTACTCTTAACCACCATGTGAATCGTCTCCCAGGCACACTTTCTTCCCGCATACCCCTCCATGCAAGAGGGCTCTGCTTTGAAAGGCCACCTGCTCCTTCTGGGCTCCTCCAAGGGTTGGAAGCGGGTCCACCCTCCCTCCAGTCCTGCATGCCCCAGGCTGATGTCCCCTTCCCTGTAACTTCTACCCAGAGCCTGTTTTTCTCTTCTTGGACTACAGAGAACGAGCTGGCCTGGCCTGCACACAGCAACGCTCTGACAATAGCCAGTGGGTCTCCCTGCATCCCTCTTCTGCCATCCTGAATCCTCGGGTGGCGTGGCTTCTGGCTGCTCTCCCTGGATCCCACAGTTTGGGGGCAGCAGATGGAGTTAGGGGTGGGGGAGAGAGGGAAGAGGTGCTACCCACCTGGCGTTGGCCACACACTCCAAGGTAACCTCCGAGGTCCCGGCCACCACGCTGGTGTTTTTAGGTGGGATGATGATGGTGGGTGCGATGGGGTCTGCAGGTCCCCCTACATCTAGGGAGAGAGCAGATATTAGCTGGGTGCAGAGGTTGAAAATTCTATCCCTGCCTGGCCTCATTAGAGGCTGATGCGCCGGGTGGCCTTTGTTTCACCAAGTAGAGCAGGGGCCATGGGGGCAGCCCCAGAGCAGACCTCCAGACACTGACCCCAGGGACTACCTGATCCCTCCTCTTCCTCTGTTGATGAGTCACCACACCAGTGTCCAAGGAGAGACATCCCTGACTTTGATGGCCTTCTTCATCCCTCCTGTATAGCAGCCACATACCCCTCTCCCACCACCACCCTGTCCTGTTCCATTCCCTTCAAAATCCTTCCCTCTGCCTGGGTTACCTTGTTGGTTTAGTTCTGCATTGTCCACTTTCTCCACCAGAATGCAAACTCTCTGTACTTGGTCAAACAGATTTACCCCCCCTACCCCATCCCCCCACACCTCCTGCCAAATTCACACCCACACAGCACCCATAAATGTGACCTCATTTGGATATAGGATCATTACAGTGTCATTAGTTAAGGTGAGGTCATACTGGATCAGGGTAGGCTCAAGACCCAATAAGACTGGCATCCTTGTAAGAAGAGGGAAATTGAGACACAGATGCACAGGTCAAAAGCCTCTGTGAAGACAAAGGCAGAGTGGAGGGATGTGGCCACAAGCCAAGGAATGCTAAGTATTGCTGGCCACTGCCGGAAGCCAGGAAGAGGCAAGAAAGGCGACTCCTCTAGAATCTTCAGAGAAGTATGGCCCTGCTGACACCTTGATTTTCAGTCTTCTGGCCTCCAGACTGTGAGAGGCTCAGTTTCTGCTGTGAGCCGCTCAGCTGGTAGTACTTTGTTGCTCAGGCCATAGGAGACTAAAATTCTCCCTGACCAGGAACCTAGGTCTTTGCTGTGGACTGAACCGTGTCCCCCACCCATTCATATGTTGAGCCTTAACCCCCAATGTGATGGCATTTGGAGGGGTCCCTTGGGAGGTGATTAGGATTAGATGAGGGTCAGGCCTCATGAGGACCAATGAGGGTCTCAGGAAAAAAGAAAAATGTTCTCTTAACTTAGTGCAAACTTTAGCTTAGAAAAGCATCTAATACCTTAATTCTTTCATTGAATGAAATTAAAGAGTTAATGAAACTCTCAGAAAGCAAGTTTCCAGTACTTGTCAGGTGTATGTATATCTGTATTTTGGATTCATGTCCTTGTAAGAAGAGGAAGAGCCCAGAGCTCTCTCTCTCTCTCCGGCATGTGAGGACACGGCGGGAAGGTACACATCTGCCAGCTGTGAAGAGAAGCTGACTGTGCCGGCTCCCCGATCAGGGACTTCCAGGCTCCAGGACGGTGGGAGCCCGAACGTCTGCTTCAGAAGCCCACAGCTGTGGTGCTTTGTTACAGCACCATGAGCTGACTCATGCAGTCTCGACGACCACCACTCCTCCAGCACGAAGAGGGACGCCTGGTACACAGTGAGTGCTCAAATACGTGTGTTAAGTCAACACGTGAATGGAGCTAGAGTTACCATCCTGCAACTTCCAGAGTCAATGATTGAAATGAACAAGAACTTCCCATAAGTGGGTTTGTTGGGAAAAAAAAAAAAAAAAAAAAAGAAACACTCCAAACTCTTCGAATAGAGGTGGTAGCATTTCCTTTTTTTATTTTTTGAGATTTGTTTTTTTTTTTAGTAGAGGCCAGGTTTTTTATCTCGGTGGGTAAGTGTAGGCCTGATATTGGCAGAAACTCCGATATACCTGACCCACGGCTCCTGAAAATACAACCTCTGAGGATTGTTTTCTCCACAACAAATCCATCCAGTTGGCCTCTTTCCAGAAGGTTCTGGAGGTAGTAGGCCACGATGACATGCCGGGCCCCGGGGTAACAGTGACAGGCTGGCCTGTTCTTTATGGGGCCTGGGGAGGTTGCACAGTGGCCCCTCTGCCACTCTGGGCCACCTTGTCAGCCCGAGCAGGCTTTCCTTCCTTGACTCCAGGCCTTGCTAGAAAAGGCCCAGGAAGAATGGGAATGAAATATAAAAAATAAAGTAAAATGAAGGGGGAAAGAAAGGAAGCATATAAAGCAAAATAATTGCAACAATATAAAAGCCTCGTGTAGGTGCCATAAAGAGCGATCGGATTGAAAGCTGCTGATATAGCCGAATCCATAAAAGTGTGCTCTAAGTTGTTTATTACATGCGGGGGTGTGCAGGTACCACGGCTCAGATTAATGGGGCATGAGGAGGAGACAGACAGTTAGAGCCCCAGCCAGGGCGCCGCGTGGCGCAGTCAGGTAAACAGGGAGCCCTCGAGGAAGGCGAGTTTCCAGTTTGAAAATATGAGGGCTACCCCAGGGCTCGGGCTGGCTCATTGGAAGGAATGCAGGGGAGACTGACCTGTGTCAGGCTCAGGTGGAAGCCTGCCGGGCTTGACGGGGGCTGAGGTGACCAGGGACGCTGGCATAGTGAGAAAGGGTCCCAGGGGTGAGGAAGGCCTGGGTTCAAAACCCAGCTCTGCCCCCAGGTGTCCTGGTGACTTCATTCTACTGAGTTTCAGTCTTCTCAGGGGCAAAATGGGACTGAAAGTCCCTACCTCTCAGGGTTGTGTGAATTCAGGCCCCAGCTCAACAAATCTTTCCTGGGTGAATGCTTGACACAGCCACAGAGCAGTGCCAGGTTGTGTTTCAGGCACTGGAGATTCCCCTCCAAGTGAGATGGCTGGGGTCTGTTCTCAATGAGGGCGAGGTCCCAGAGGAAGTCAGATCAATGCTCACGGGATTAGTGAGTGAAAGAGAGCATGATGGTTGCCGGGAAGCGGGTGGCTAAGCTGGCCTGGGGTTGAGTGCAGAGTGACTGGAACACAGTAGGTGCTCAGTAACTGACAGCCTCTCCTCCTGGAGATGTGCCTGTCTGTGCAGGGAAGAGCTCTCCGCACCAGCCCTAGTCCAAGTGATGGACTCCGGCAAAAGAGAGGTGAGAGTCACAGGCTCGGGGTTGCATGTTAAGCCCCGAAGGGTCCCGGGCAAGGCCTCAGGCATTTCATGGGCTGGCTTCCTGGGAGACAGCAGGAGTTGAGTGGGACTCAGAGAAGTGAGTGGAGGAGGGGATTCTAGGAGGGGAGCACCGTGTGAGTGACGGTGTGGACACAATATGGGGTGGCCCTCAGAGCTCTAGGGTGGATGAGGAGGACAGCCACAGAGCAGAGGTGGCCGGGCCTGGCCCCGAGCTGTCCTTCCCAGGCCATTTCCCTTTGCCTCCAGGAGGAAGTGCTGACTGGTCACAGTGCTTTTCTTGGCGAAGCCTAGATATGTTCTCAGCATCCTTCTTAACACAGTGCAACCAACAGACCAGAGCTGTGAGAGGAGACCCACCTTCCATTGGGAGAGGTTTGATCGGGACCAGAGTGATGGCGATTTATGTCTGGCTCTGGGCTGGAGGTCCGCTCTAGGTGGATGCAGTGGAAATGCAGGTGGTGGGATGGTAGGGCGTGGGGGATGGGAGGACAGGATGGATGAGGGTTTGGGGACCAAATGCCTAGAGAAGCAGCCTTTAGGAGGAAAAGGGAAGCCCGGGGGGAACTGGTTTTCAAAGAAGCGGGGAGAGTTTGGCTTCTTTTTTCTTTTTGAGACAGAGTTTCACTCTTGTCGCCCAGGCTGGAGTGCAGTGGCACAATCTCAGGTCACTGCAACCTCCGTCTCCTGGGTTCAGGTGATTCTCCTGCCTCAGCCTCCCAAGTAGCTGGGATTACAAGCATGCGCCACCACATCCAGCTAATTTTTTGTATTTTTAGTAGAGACGGGGTTTCACCATATTGGCCAGGCTGGTCTTGAACTTCTGACCTGAAGTGATCTGCCCACCTTGGCCTCCCAAAGTGCTGAGATTATAGGCGTGAGCCACCGCACCCTGCTGGGTTTGGCTTTTGTCTGGCTGAGCTGGAGGTGGGGTGGGATGTCTGTTTTCGGAGGTGGAGGTGCATCAGGAGACAGCAGGAGACTGGTGAGATTTGGGGGAGCCAGAGAAACAGGGAGAATGGGAGGAACCTGGGCTGAGAACTAGGCAGGGGCTTGCTTACTTATAGGGAGGAGGAAAAAGTGATGGTACCAGGGAGAATTTCGAGGGAGAGGGAGCGTGGGCAGCAGGTGCCAGAAGCTCAAAGGATGGGGGGTTCCCAAGAGAGAGGCCAGCAGAGCAGAGTGTCCAGAGGGCAGGACAGCTCATGGAAGCCTGGAGCCGGGGATTCAGACTGAGAACATGGTGGAGGAGCTGGCAGAATGGAGAAGGTGGCACCTGATGCCTTTCAGTGGCCAGCAGCCCAGAGGGGCATCTGTTTTCCTTCTGAGCTTGTTCCCTGAGGACTGAGCTCGGGGGACCGTCTGGGTAGGAGTTGATGGCACAGGCTTGGCAGTCCGGGAAGCCTGGATCGCATTCCTGGTTTCCCCAGCTATTAGTGAATGCTGCTGGGAAGTGCATGGTGGGCGTCTCATGCCCAGTTTCCTCAGCCTTCTCACCTGTAAACTGTGGATGATGGTAATTTGGTCACCTGCCTCTGATGATTGCTGTAAGATGAGCTAGGTGAGCATCGCAGGTGCCTGGAGAGAGCCTTGCCCGTGGGAGCACTGAAAGGGGAGGTTGCTGGTGTGGCGTGGAGGTGGGAGGGGACGGCTCAGGTGCATGGAGGATGGCAGAGACACCTGGGTGTGGCAAAGGCTCACCCTCAGCAGGACGCTCTCTACGGCCAGGCGTGCCCTGCTGGAGAGCACTGTGCTAAGTTGTCTCCCTCCTCTAGTAAATCTCCCCCATGACCAGCCAGCGTCGGGAGGGGACAGCCTAACCAGATTTAGGCAGCAAACTCATGCTTGGGACAGAGGCTCCAGCAGGGACCGCCCTTAAAGCTGGGAAGGATGGCCTAGAAGATAAGAGTTTTCAGCCTGGAGGCCCCCTGCGATACCCAGATCATGCTTAGGAAGATCCTCTAGGACTCCCAGTATGGTCCTTGCCGGCCCCTGCCATGAGCCGGTGGCTGAGAACTGGGGCTTGGCAGGAGAACACTTAGCTCTCTGCCATGGCTGGGACTGGGAAGTCAGTGCCGGGTGGTCCTCAAGCAGATTCACTGTAAATGAAGGTCACCCCAGCCCAAGTGGGTTATTTGGGTGAATCACAGGCGAGCCTGAGCAAAGAGGAGGGGTGTCTTCCCTGTGAGCTCCTGCCACAGAGTGGGCCCTCGTGTGGAAGTGTAGGGGGGTCCCCCACATGGGGAGGCACACTGGATCTCACTGCCCCAGACGCTTTGCTTAACAGCCATGACAAGGGACATCTAACATGGTCTGTTCTCCCCGAATCAGCTCATTTAATCTTCCCATCTTTGCCATGAGCACCAATTTACAGATGGGGAGACGGAGGCTCAGAGACTGTGTGACTCACCTGGGCCACCTCATTTAATCCTCCCAACTTTGCCACAGGCACCACTTTACAGATGGGGAAACTGAGGCTCAATTTACAGATGGAGAAGTGGTGTGAGCCACTCTCTCTCCTGGGATGTCTGTTTTCCAGCTGCCCAGGGGCCAGGGTATCCAGGCCCTGTGATCCAAGCCACATGTGGACCTGGAGCCACATGAGCCACACGTGCCTATGAGTGCCTGCAATGTGGCTGGTGCCCCTTTGATTTAATGCGATTTAATTTTAGCTAATTTACATTTCATTAAGAATGGATCCCCAATTCAGTTATTAGAACACTTTTAAGCTTGTGTGGAACAACTTGTGCATACGACTCTACTTTTCAGCTATAAATTTTGTGACATCTAAATACAGATCACGTATTTTGGATGAAAATTTAACATCCAGATTGAGATGTGCTATAAGCGTAAAATACACGAGACTTTCAAAGACTTGGTATGAAAAAGCCAATGTAAGATATCCCATTAATATTCTTTACATTGATTGTATGTTAAAAAGATAACACCTTGTTATGTTGGGTTAAATAAAACAGAGTAATAAAATTAATGTCAAAGGTTTCCTTTTACTTGGTGAAAAATGGGGCTGCTGGAAAATTTAAAATTTCGTATGTGGTTCAGATTCTATTTCCTTTTGAACAGAGTGCCGCACTGATCCCTGGGTGTGGAGTCACCACCCAAGCATAGGGTTGTCAGGAGCTGTGACAGTCCGGTGAGGTCACTGGTGTTATCCTGAGCAGGGGGCAACTTCTGGGGTCACTGGGCTTGGTCTTTCCTTCTCTGGTTCTGAAGAGCATGGGGTCCCTATAAGGAGGTGTAAGAGTCCAGGAGGGATGGAGGAAGTGGTGTGGAGGGGAGAGCAGAGGGAGGGGTGAGGCCCAGGAGAGGAATGAGGGGAGCTGGTGCTGGTGGTGGGCACAGCAGCAATTGCTCCTCACAAATTGGCTGGCTGGCAGGCAGGCAGGCTGGGGATTTGTGTCAGGGAGAGGAACAGGGTTTTCAAGTGCAGTCATTTGTGGGAAGAGAAATTAGCTAAAAATCAGCTGATTCTGCTCTGAATTCAGGATAAATCAGTGCGTGACTGCAGGGGGCCAAGAGGTGATGGGGTGGCAGAGGCAGGCAACTGGGCGGGGTGTGGGTGGGTGCAGGGGGTCAGAGAGGCCCTGCCCACCTCCCTGGGGGCAGCTGGAGGGTTGGGGTGGTTTGGGATGGATCAGAGAGCGAACGACCCCCAAAGTCAGCCAGGAAGAGTAGCCCAGTTTAACGCCTGTGAGGAGGAGCTGGGTGCTGGAGGAGAAGAACAGAGAGGAAGGCCTGACTCTGTCTCAGGGAAAACTGAGTCACACAGGAGGATGACTTGGACTATGAGACACTCGTGTATCTTTGACATTGCCTCTTACCAAATGACAGGATTCCATGAGACTTCAGGGAATCTGATCACCAGAAGATATATGGGGAGAAGCATCTGTCTTTGATGACTAAATTCCCTTCTCCTATACAAACAGCAGCCCCAGGGGATGGGCTGGGGTCCAGGCTGCTGGGACTTGACTGAGCCCCTGGCTCAACCTCAGAGGCTACACCCTTGGCTGTGATGGTCAGTATCTAGATATACTTGTGACCCTAATGGGTCCGTATCCAGAGTGAAACTCTCCTCCCTGCATTCAGAATTCCTTCTAGGCTGACTGGACACTGATTAGGGGAAGGAAATCCTTGGGATAATGGGAAGTGGTTCCTGCTGAAGTTTGAAAGGCCCTGGAAGGGGGATGACAAGGCCTGGCAATGTCCAGGGCCCCCTGGGCACTGACAGCAGAGGCTGGCACCAGAAGGAGAGCATAGGAAGGCTCCAGGCTGGCCCACACCCTCAATCTTGTCACTGGTGGGTGAGTACCATCGTGACCGTGGATGATGAATGAGGCTTGCTTTGAGAGCAGAAGTTGTACGGATGTAGAGGGAGGTGAATATCTGCCTCCCTTAGCTTATGTGACTGCTCGGCTGCTGCTGCTGCAGGAAGCTCTGACCTCGCCCCACGTACTCTGGGATTTGGCCTGGGCTGCTCCTGGGCTGTCCCACCCCTCCTTCTCTGTCTTGGGAGTGGAGTATGGAGGGAGGGGCTAGTCCGGTAGGGAGAACCAGGCCAGAAAGGACATCCCCGCATCTCAGCCCTCCCAAAATAACTGGCTTCAATCTTGGCAGGACAAGCGTCTCTTTGCCAAAGCACACCGAGGGAGTCACACTTTTATGTGTGTCTCACTGTGTGGTGAGTTCTAGAGACACCTTTGTCCCTTTCACCCAGGGAGCTGCAGGTGTCTGAGGCTGGGGAGAGAGGCACTTTCAGGTGGGAGCCTGGGCAGAGGGCCTGTGTTCCCATCAGCAGGGACCACCTGGAGCCAAATATAGACAGCACTTTTTATGTGACAGCCAAGTAGAGGCAGTTAGTATATTTCTGATAAAAACAAGCTTTAGTCCTGCAATCACCCCACATGCCCTCCTGGTCATCATCTGGGCCCGGATGGTGGCAGCAACTCACACATGCACACACTCTTCCTCTGCCCACCCCTCCCTGGGTCCCCGTAGCCCTACTAACAGTCATGCTAAGCATCCTCTCCACCGACGCAGGGTCTCAGGCAGGTCGTGGCAATGGGTTCCAGCACTCAGCTGCTCCCAGCCCTGCTGTGTCTCCTCCTCCTTGGGAAGCCTCCCCGCTGCCGTCCCCCAGCTTCCCTGCCCCCCTCCTCTGCCACTCCATCTTCCCAATGGTCCCCTGGAGCACCATTGCCAAGATTTAATGACCCGCTGTGATCCGTCCTGGCCCTGCGCATACTTACTCTCCACGGCGAGCGTGATGGGCTGGCTGGTCTTGTTATCCCCGTTCTTGTCGTTAACAGCCTGAACATAGTAGCGACCTGCGTCGGGAGCCACCGTTGACAGGATGACAAGGGTGTTCTCCAGCGTGATGGCTCTGGGAAGAGAGAAAGGATTCTTCTGACAGGGGCCTGAGGGGCTTTGAACCTCCAGGGAGTGGTAGTAGGAAAGGGCAGCCTGACCGTACCTCCCAGTCCCTGGCCTCCCAGAGCCCCTCCTGTCACCCATCTTTCCAACCTCTTACTGCCTATATCCCGCCATATTTACTTTGCAGATAATCCCAAACATGGTGCTGACGCTGTCAGTCAGACCCAGAGACAGCACGTTCATGGCCAAGAATACCCAAAGGAAGCTTCCCTGGCCCCTACCCCAAGGCTGGGTGAGGGGCTTCCAGGTGCCCCCATGGAATTCTGCCCTTTGCCGGGTCACAGCCTCCATGGCTGTGTGTGGTTATTTCTGCATCATGAGCATCCAGACACTGAAGAAATGTTCTCAGCGTGGATAAGTGAATGCCGATGAAAGAATAAGCAAATGACAAATAAATGTTACTGAATTTAGACATGAGCGGGGCCATTCCAGAACCCACGGCCTGACCTAATCCTAAATGTGTTCAGGGCTGACTGGCTCAAAGGCCACAAGTCGCCTGTAACATCAACTTCTGGGGGTCCTGTCTCCCTCTAGTCTTCTTTCTGAGTTTCAGTTTCTACCTCTTTTCTTTTCTTTCTTTTTTTTTTAGATGGAGTTTTGCTCTTGTTGTCCAGGCTGGAGTGCAATGGTGTGATCTTGGCTCACTGCAACCTCCACCTCCCAGGTTCAAGTGATTCTCCTGCCTTAGCCTACTGAGTAGCTGGGACTTCAGGTGCATGCCACCACACCCAGCTAATTCTTATATTTGTAGTAGAGACAGGGTTTTGCCATGTTGACCAGGCTGGTCTCGAACTCCTGACATCAGGTGATCCGCCCACCTTGGCCTTGCAAACTGTTGGGATTACAGGTGTGAGTCACTGCCCCCGGCTAGAGTTTCTACCTCTTTGAAGCTCATAACCAAGAGTGGGACTAGCTGGGCCAGTTAGGAGGGAAAAGGAGGCTGGTGTGCTTTGGGGGTACAGTGATGGGCTGTTTGCCCCCGCCAGTTTCCTTTGCTGGGATTGTGTCATGTAGCCCCTTGACAGGCCAGGTCTTCAGGCAGGGAAAACGGGCTTGTCCAGGCAGGAAGCTGGAGGCCCCATGGAATGTGGGTGGAATGGAGCCAGGACTGCCACCCGCACCGGCTCGGCCTCCCTCCACCCATTCTCCCAGTGACAAACAAAGCCATTAGTTTGTCAAGTATATCTCTGGATTTTAATGTGATGTGCCTGAGACAGCTGTTAAACATCCTTAATGTTAGTTTAACAAGGACAAATCCAGTTGATATCTTTTCAAATTTTCCCATTAGGTGGATGTTACAGAGTTTTAAACAGGCTCTCAAATAAACCTCCCCAGGAACGCTTCTCCAGCCCCGCTGTCTCCCAGCCCGGCTGTGCTGCTTTTTGACCCTCTCGCCTGGCTTGGTGCTTCACATGCTGAGAATCACACCCTCGGCGTAGCTCTGGGAAGCAGGAAGCCAAGCCCTCCTGCCCGCAATTCCTGGGTACCTTACTGATGTCTTTTTTTTTTTTTTTTTTTTTTTCCCGGAGAGCTCTTTTAACCTCCAGCTAATGAGGCACTAGGAGGTGGGGCCAGAACCAGGCAAAAATATTTCAAAAGCACAAAATAAGACAGGGATGGGGTCATTTTCCCACCTGGGAGTTTCCTGCATGGGCTTGTCCTTTGGTGTGGCATGTGAGGGTGTCTGAAGGAAGGGTCCGCCCCGTGTAGGGCTCTGGTTGGGGCAAGGGCTGAGCTCTAGAATGAAGCTCTGGCCCTAGCCTCTGAAAAGCAAGCAGCTTCCTCCTTGCTGGGCCTCACTTTCCTCTTCTGTGCAAGCGTGGAACAGGTGTTCTGTAGGATTTCTTCTAGCCAGAGGCTGGGGGATTCTGATTCCTGTTGATGCTTCTGTTCTTTCCCATTAGGCCCAAGAGAGTCCTGCAACCGCCACCTGTCTCTTCCCACACTGCAGACGGGCACACGGCCAGCTTCAGGGTTGAGGACTCTCATGAGCACCACGCACTGGGACCATGCAGGCCCAGCTACCCCAGCCACGCCACATCCATGACTGCCACAGAGGCAAGTTCAAGGAAGCCTCCAGTGGGCACACCGGGCACAGCTCGGCCCCCTTTCCAGTTCACCCACCCGTCTTAGGACTCTTTCGGTCTCCAAGAAGGCTCCCACCTCCAGTTTCTTCTCTTTCTTGACCAGAAAGGCTCCTTTTGCTGTATTTTGTCTAATATCATGGTCAACCTTTCTGGGTCAGCAGTTCTCAACCAGGTCTGACTTTGCCCTCCAGGGATGACAATGTCTGGGCAACTTTTGGTTGCCAGCTCTAGGAGTGCTACCAACAACGAGGGGTCAAGGCCGGGATGTTGTTAAGGACGCATCCTGCAATGCACAGGAAAGCCCTCACAGGGATGAGTGGTCGGGGCCTAGATGTCAAGAGTGCCATGCCTGACACAGTCTGTCCTAGGTAGCGTGCATATCAAGATGGCAGAGATGGCCGCTGCCCACCTAGTCTCAGGCTCCCCTTGTGTCATGGACTGCAGTGGCTGGAAAGCCAGAGAGAGGCTTTGCATCTCTGCTTGCATCCAGGTGGGGCAGTGAGGCTGAACTAGGGGGATATGGAGGAAGGGAGGGGCACCGCTGCTAGGCTTGTACCATCAGCACCTCCTACGCGATTCTCATGTCCGCCCCCTTTCTCTCTGGCAGAGCAGGATAACTTGGAAGGCTGTGTGCTGATGGCAAAACCCACGTCAGCAGGGCCCCTGAATGACTATGTGGAAGAGAGCATGCCTCTCATCATGGTAGGACTTTACGTGGTAGCTCATGCCTGAAATCCTGGCACTTTGGGAGGCTGAGGTGATAGATCACCTGAGGTCAGGAGTTCAAGACCAGCCTGACCAACATGGTGAAACCCTGTCTCTACTAAAAACACAAAATTAGCCTGGTGTGATGCTGCATGCCTATAATCCCAGCTACTGGAGGCTGTGGCAGGAGAATTGCTTGAACCCAGGAGGCAGAGGTTGCAGTGAGCAGAGATCACGTCATTACACTCCAGCCTGGGCAATAAGAGTGAAACTCCGCCACAAAAAAGCCAAAACCAAAACCAAAACAAAACAATAAATGGGCAAGAAATCTACTTCTACAGTCACTGAGATGTGGGGCTCTATCTGCGGTTGCAGCTGGCACTGCTTTAACTGGTGCCTGGAGGGAAGCACCCTGGGCTGGGAAGCCCAGGGCCAGGATTCAAGTCTTAAACCCATAGTGGAGCAGGAGGCAGAGATGGCTTTTGACTTGCCCGCTCTGCCGCCCCCAGCAGGCAGTGAAGGAAGGTCTCTGGGCTCGTGGCTCTCTCCAGAGTATCCATCCGCTTGACAGACATTCCTGGATGATGCTGTATTGTACTGTACTGGGTGCTCTTCCTGGCACCCAGCAGGGTTTCTAACCTGCAGCACTGCACCTCAGAGGCAACCCACACCGAAAGAAGCTGAAGGAAGAATTCTTGGAGGACACAGACAGCAGAATTCGACTCTCGGGCAGGATTATATTTTTCAGCCACACCCTCTGGTTTCAATGGAGGCTTTTGCTACGGCTCTGACTGGCCCAGCCCTGGCCTCCCTTCCACCCATTGCTCCTATCAAGCCAGCCCCTTTTTCTCAGCTCCCTGGGGCCCCCATCGATAATTTAATTATGAATGAAATAAATTATCCTAGAATGAGTCTAAAGCCCCCAGCATGCATCTTTATGAGGAATCTTGTCTCCTGTTCAACAGTGAGCACGGGGCATGAGGTGGTGCTAATCCCTGCTCCTGCCCCACCATAAGAGCAGCTCTCTGTAGATAGCGGCGCCTTCTGTGCCCTGCACACCCCTCTGGCAGACATGCTCATCAGATATGTATCTCTGACACACAGACACCGGGGAATTTACTGCCAGGGACCCTTTCTGTTCACTTATGAATATTAATTTGCTGTAATTGCCAGGATAAAATCACCACAGTGTTCTATCATGTAGTTGGTAGGAACACTGTGGCGGTGTGCAGGGGCTGGGGGTGTGTGTGACCAAGGAGGTGTGTGTGTGTGTGCAGGCCAGGGTGTTCTGTCCTGATGCCACTGTAGGAATGAAAACAAGATGAGGACAGAGGCTGGGAGTGAGAAAAGGAGGTGGAGAGGTATTAGGCAAGGGGTGATGGGAGTAGGTTGTAGAAAGGGTTTCATCCCCCACAACAAATGTAGTAGGAAAATGCCATCACACCCCTTACACAGCTATGGCAGACATTGCTAATCAATTGTGATATTCATTCTCATGAGTCTGGATGGGACCTCAGAATCCTTCCTAACACAGAGTTCCACGCAGCCCCTACCAATTGATTGGCTTGCAATAGCCCATGGGAAATAACCTCAGAAAGGGAGCTGGGATGGGGATTGGGCTCCTCTACATGTCCCAACACCTGTGTGGAGAGCATTCCCCTTCTACAGCATAATCTCAACAGCCATGCTAAGAACCATTCTCTGCTGTTTTTATTGAACATAAGTTAGGCCTAAGAGGGCACACTCCAACTCACACAGCATGAGTCCCCCTGTTAACCTGGGGTGCCACTCCGATTTTTCACCCTGCTCTGTATCTGAACTCTTTGTCCTGTGGCTTTGCAGGTTCTATTGCTCAAGGAACAGAGTCTATTTTCCTGCATCTTGATTTTGAGTTCTGCCATGCTCTTGCTTTGGCCCATGTGATATTAGCAGAAGCTGGAAAAGTGTATGTTCCTGCTTCCTCCCCTGCTCCTCTGCAATTGCCAGGAAAACGTGCTAGGGCTGGGAGGCAGGAGGATGCATTGTGCAGCACAGGCAAGTCACGCCAGTCACCCAGACAAGTCAGCCAGTCCCAGACAAGTGAGACAGCCCAGCCAAGGCCAGAAGAACTGCCCAGCTAAGCCCAGCCTAAATCACCAGCCTGTAGACTCACAAGAAACAGAAATGTGTGTTGTGTATTGCTCTAAGCCACTGAGCGGTTTGTTCATTTATTTCTTTATTTTTGAGATGGAGTCTCACTCTTGTTGCCTTGCCCAGGCTGGAGTGCAGTGGTGTGATATTGACTCACTGTAGCCTCTGCCTCTTGTGCTCAACCAATTCTCCCGTCTCAGACTCCTGAGTAGCTGGGACTACAGGTGTGTGCCACCATGCCTGGATAATTTTGTGTTTTTAGTAGAGACAGGATTTCACCAGGTTGGCCAGGCTGGTCTCAAACTCCTGACCTCAGGTGATCTTGCCACCTTGGGCTCTCAAAATGCTGGGATTACAGGCATGACCCACGGTGCCTGGCCCACTGAGTTGTTTTGTTACACAGCATATTTGTGGCTGTGGATAGCTGATACATACTAGGATGGTGGTTCTTAACTCTGGCTTCACATTAGAACCACCTGGGGAGCTTTTATAAATTCTGATGCTCAAATTCCATCCCATTTCAATTAAGTCAGAGAATCTTAGGATAGAAATCAAGGATCAGTACACAGTCATGTACTGCATAACATTTCAGTCAAAACCAGACCATATATATGATGCTGGTCCCATAAGATTATAATGAAACTGCCTTATACAGGTGTGCCACTAAAAAAATCTTTTATACCATATATTTATGGTACCTTTCCTATATTCAGATATGTTTAGATACACAAATACTTACCATCGTGTTCCAATTGCCTACAGTACAGTAACATGCTGTACCGGCCTATAACCTAGGGGCAGCTGACTACACCATACAGCCTATATGTCGTAGGTGCGTAGTAGGCCGCACCATCTAGGTTTGTGTTCACACAACAGCGAAATTGCCTAACGATACATTTCTCAGAATGTATCTCTGTCATTATGTGATACATGACTGTATCCCCAAATTCCCAAATGATTTCAACAGGTAGCTAAGGTGAGATACTCCACAGGACTTGTTCCCACAAATGCAATCTTTTCATCCTGTCTGTGTGTCCGTTCTCAGGCACTTTTCACGTAAGACAAGAATGAAAGAACCTGACTTTGGAGTTGGCAGGCTGGATGCAAATTCACCACTTACCAGCGGTGTGAGATTTGGCAAAGTAGTTAAACTTTTGGCAACTTCACTGGATTGTCTATAAAATGGGGAGAAACCCAGCATCTCACTGGGTGGTTGTGAGGGTCATTCATTCAACAATGCCTCATTTCAGCAGGTGCTCTGGGGACAAGAAGGAGAATGAGACTGAGAGCATCTTCTTCCTCACGGAGCATGGCTGTCTGGGAGGAGAGGGGATGTGTTGTGTGCTTAGCTCAGTCCTCAGCACATAGCAGCCACTCAATAAACGGCAGCTGCTGTGATGATGATGGTGATCTTGTCATTACTATTATTATTTGAGACGGAGTCTGGTTCTGTCTGGAGGCTGGAGGCTGGAATGCAGTGGTCTGATCTTGGTTCACTGCACCCCCTGACTCCCAGGTTCAAGTGATTGTCCTGCCTCAGCCTCCCGAGAAGCTAGGATTACAGGGTCTGCCACAGTGCCTGGCTACATTTTGTACTTTTAGTAGAGACAGGGTTTTGCTGTGTTGTGCAGGTTGGTCTCAATTCCTGACTTCAAGTGATCAGCCCACCTCAGCCTCCCTAAGTGCTGGGATTACAGGTGTGAGCCACCGCGTCTGGCCAATGATGGTGATATTATTATTATTGTTATAGTTACTATGCTTCCCCCAACTAGACTTAATGTTCCCCAAAGGCAGAAACTGTCCATCTATTCCTCCACTCTCTATAGAGACCAGGACAGGCTTGGTCCTGTGTACATGCAGCCTGAGTAGATCAGAAGGTGGTCTTCTGGAAGCAGGGTTGGAAAAAGGAAATCCCTGGCTGGCTCCAGACACTTGGGAGGCTCAGGAGGGCGGGGAGATTGGTGTATTTCGGGAGGAAATGCTTTGTTGTTTGCCTATTGCAGAGGTGGGGGTTGTTGGCTCCATGGCTCCTGCCCACAGGCAGGGCTGCCCCAGCCAACCCCCAGGGGCACAGAGACATCCTGTGAACACTGAGAGGTCTGTGTGTTTCTCTCCCTGGGGCTGCCCTGGCCATACCTCCGCCTTGCAGCCAAGACACACACAGCCCTCGCACACCAGTTAAACCCGCCAATGGACACGCCCAGGGCTGCCCGGCTGCCCAGGAGACGCCAGCCTCTCCAATGTCCCTTGGCACTGCTGGCCTGAGTCCTGGGCCTGTAACCACGGTGACAACGCCTTCGTATGTGCCTGTTCAGGTTTTTTAAGTGCTCTGAAAGGCAGATTTATTTTTCAGCTTACAGTGGAGGCAACACCCTGGGATTCCCCAGGAAGGGGACTGAGCATGGGTTTCAATGGTCCCAAGTTCCTGCATGTGTATCCCAAGAAAGCCCCTGGGAGGTCCCCTACTTGGCTGTGTCCCAGAAGAGCTGAAAGGAGCTTCTGCACAAAGGCCCTCCTCTGCATTCAGGAGACTTCATCTGGCCCCAAACCTCCTTCCCCAGAGCCCCCTCCCATCCCCCAGAGCGGTGCACTCACATGCGGCTGCTGGGCGGGATCTTGCGGCCATCCCGGAACCAGGTCACCTGCGGCCGGGGGAAGCTGGCGATGCGTGGGGCACGGATGACAGCTGCTTCTCCGTGGGAGACGCTCTGGTGCTTCTCCCCCTCTTCAAAGCTCCCCATGTCTGCAGCCGGGACAATGGGAGTAGAATGAGGGACTGGAGGTCAGCCTCAGGGACTGTCCAGCTTGCAGGTTGGAATTGGTGGCCATGGATGGAAAATTCGGGGCAGACAGGATGACCATGGGGAAGGGGGACACCCTGCTTGGGCCACCCACATCACCTCGCTGCCCCGTTCTCTGCCTCACCACTGGCACCCTGCCTTCTGCTACTGTCTCCATTCATATCCCTATATCCTTCCATCAGCCAACTCATCCAGCCACCATGAGAGGTTGGTCATCGTTTCACATGTTTTACAATGGAAAAATCTGCTCAAATGGGCTCAGAGAGGTTAGTTGACTTGTCCAAGGTCACTTAGCTAGGAAGAGACAGTCAGAAATTGAACTTGGACCTCAAACCCTAGATTCAGGCTGTGCAGCTCCTCCTCCCCTCCCTACAGTGTGGCTTTCAGGATGGCAGAGGTTCTGGTGTGAGGTGAAGGGCAGGTTCCTGCGCCCTTTCAGGGAGAGAAGGGTGGGCATGCTGAGAGAATGGGGTCTTAGATGCTTGCAAACGGGTGCAGACAGCGTTTCTCTCCTGTGCCTTGGGTGTGTAGTGTGTGAGTTTGTGTGTATGTGTGAACATAAACACCATATTGCTCTTTTAAAACATGCCACCCCCTTGGCAGATAAGGAGGGGAACATTTATCCTGGCTCTGTCAGCCAGGAGGGGAGCAGAGAGCAGAGGAGATGGGGAGAGAAAACTCTTTAGCCAGCCAGCCAGCCAGCCTGCCTGCCTGCCAGGGTGGGACGAGGCAGTGGGGAGACTAATTCCAACACAGAGGCTTGGAGATAAGGTTTGGGAAGGGGTATTTGTGCGTCTACCACACCCTCAAAAATTAATGAACATCCTCGCTACTTCGAGTGTGGCCCGTGGGCAGCTGCCTGGGCACCACACCCGGGCACCTGTCAGAGATACAGAGCCTCAGCCCCCCCCCCCGACTCCCCAAGACCTGCTGAATCAGAAGCAACATTTTAGCAAGATGCCTGGCAAAGTGTGTCCGTGTTCAACTGTGAGGAGCCTATGATATGTCCCAAACTTGACGGTGCGTAGAGTTAAAAAGTGCTGATGGGAACCTAACCCCCAAAGCTTCTGATTTCACTGGGGAGGAATGTGGGAATGAGAGACATCCCACAGCACCCTGTTTTCTTTTCTTTTCTTTTTTGAGATGAAGTGTCACTCTGTCACCAGGCTGGAGTGCAATGGTGTGATCTTGGCTCACTGCAACCTCTGCCTCCCAGGTTTGAGTGATTCTCCTGCCTCAGCCTCCTGAGCAGCTGAGATTACAGGCATTTGCCACCACACCTTGCTAATTCTTGTATTTTTAGTAGAGATGGGGTTTCACCATGTTGGCCAGGCTGGTCTCAAACTTCTGATTTCAAGTGATCTGCCCATCTCAGCCTCTCAAAATGCTAGGATTATAGGTGTGAGCCACTGCGCCCGGCCTACATCACCCCATTTTCTAAGCCATCACTAGAATGTGCCTTGACCTGTGCAGAGAATTCCTATGCACAGAAAGGTTTCACACTGCTGTCTTACAGCCTTCATTTCCCCATTGCCAAACAGACCCCTTCTTAACCAAGGGGGCTGCATCTTAAGATGCCCGGGCCCCTCCTATGGAGTCAGCTGTTATTTCTTAGCTTCTCTAAGACCACGGACCCTTCTTCCTTTCCCTCCACCAGGAGTTCTCCAACCTGGCTGTACCTTAGAATCCTTGAGGAGCCTTTAATATTCCCAGAGATGAGAATCTTTTGGGGTGTGTGGAACCCTGACCTCAGTACTTCTTTATTATTATTATTTTAGAGACAAGGTCTTGCTGTATCATTCAGGCTGGAGTACAGTGGAGTGATCATGGCTCACTGCAGCCTTGACCTCTCAGGCTCAAGCAGTCCTCTCATTGCAGGCTCCCTAGTAGCTGGGACTACAGGTGTGTACCACCACGCCTGAATAATTTTATTTTTAATAGAAACAAGGTCTTGCTATGTTGCCTAGGCTGGTCTGGAGCTCCCAAAGTGTTGGAATTACAGGCGTGAGCCACCGTGCCCAGACCGGACCTGAGCCTTTCTAAAGCTGCTCAGGTAGTTCCAGCTCGAGCCAAGGCTGAATTGGGTGGCTCTCAGAATCTCCTGAGACTTGGAAAAAGCACAAAAGTGCTCCCCACTCTCCCTCCCTCCCGGGCATCCCCAGGGCACTGAAAGGCCCTGCTTCAACACCTCTGGCTCTCTGAGCACCTGATGCACTCTCTTGGTTTGCAGATTCTGCCACCACACCTGGCTAATTCTTGTATTTTTAGCAGAGAATGCGGGCCTGCCGTTCATTTTCCAAACCCTAGTCTTCATTCTCTTTCCAGCCACACTGGCCCCATGGCGGCTTCACCTGGCCTAACGGTTTGACCACAATTTCCCTGCAAATGACACGTGTGCCTTCTGCTCTGGCTCTGCCCTGAGCTCTGAGATTCAATTTCCAACAATCTATTGGGCATTTCTCCGAGGAAGGCCTTCGGTCACCTCCTTGCCAAGCTCTCCTTAATCCTTAGTTCTGTTAAAATCTGCCTTCACGCCCTGCAAACCCAATTACCTAAGCTCAAACCCCTGGAGCCTTTGGTGGCTTTTCCCTTCCCTGCCCCCACTAAGTCTTTCAGCTCTTCCTCTGGGACATCACCATTATATACCAAGGACCCTCTGGTCCATCCGGCCTTGCCAGTGGGCTGGCCCCTTACTCCAGCGGCACAGACCCCGAGTATGTCTCTCACAACCAGATCCCCTCCTGTCCATCTCGCACACTGATTTTTTTTTTTTTTTTGAGACAGAGTTTTGCTTTTGTTGCCCAAGCTGGAGTGCAATGGCGTGATCTCGGCTCACTGCAACCTCTACCTCCCAGATTCAAGCGATTCTCCTGCCTCAGCTTCCTGAGTAGCTGAAATTACAGGCATGTGCCACCATGCCTGGCTAAGTTTGTATTTTTTAGTGGAGACAGGGTTTCTCCATGGTGGTCAGGCTGGTCTCAAACTCCCAAACTCAGGTGATCCACTCACCTTGGCCTCCCAATATGCTGGGATTACAGGCGTGAGCCACTGTGCCCGGCCTTACACACTGTTCTTGATTAGTTTTTCTGACCTTCTCAGAGCCTTTGGGAATGCCTCACTACCCTAGGAAAGTCTAAATTCCCTGGCCTGGACTTAAGGTTCTTCCCTAACCTGACCCCAGCCAACCTTTCTTGCCTTAATGCACATAGCATGTCCTGCCACCTCCCACCCCACGGCTGGTATTTTGGCTGGGCCACTGCCTGGAATGCCACTAGAGCAAGCCAAGAGTCACCAAGGCACCATGATTATACAGCATCCTGGAAATATGTAGTCAATTAAGTGTTTCAACAGATCAAATCTGTGGTGGCATCCTTGTTCTACACTTGGTAGGCATTGTGTTTAATGGTAATAGCTTTGGAGTTTTTCAGACCTGACTTCAAATCCTAGTGCTGTCACTCATTAGCCATAATGTTGGGTACACTTTCTTTTTCTTTTTTCTTTTTTTTTCTCTAGAGACACAGTCTCATTATGTTGCTCAGGCTGGTCATGAACTCTTGGCTTAAAACAATCCTTTTACCCAGGTCTCCCAAAGCATTGGGATTACAGGTGTAAGCCACTGTGTCCAGCCAGGGCAAAACTTTCAACTTCGTCAAGCCTTAATTTCCTCTTCTGTAAAATAGAGTTAAGAAGGGCTCCTTCCTCAAAGGTTGCACTATTTCATGAGATGATATGTGTATGTCAGGCTGTGTTCCTCTAAGGATGGCTGCATCAATATTTTGCTACTATTCACATGCTCTTTTTACAGTATGAAGGACATTCCTCTCATTGACAGATGGGGCATAGGTCCCTTCACCTTAAATCTAGGGAGCTTGTGACTATCTGACCAATTATGTGACTTTTGAGACTTGGTCATCAAAAGGATACATCTGCTACCTGGCTCTCACTCTCCATACTAGCCATTGGAATCCAGCCACCATGTTGTGAGGAAGCTCAATCTAGCCAAAGCAGATGTGGGATAAGCCTTCATGGAGAGGAAGTGAGGTCCCCAGATGACAGGCAGCATCAACGCTGGACATGTGAACAAACATGTGAGCCCTGAGAGGACTTCAGCCCCACCCTTCAGCTCCAGACTGAGCCTCAGCTGAGGCCTCAGTCATCCTAGAATAGAGTCAAGCTGCCTTTGCTATTCTCTGTCCAGATTCTAGAATCACAGGATCTGTGAACATGATAAATGATTGCAGCATACCATTATGTTTTGGGGTAATTTGTTACATAGCCATAGAAACTAGAAGAGTATATAAAAGTGTTAAAAATTGTATCTAATATTTGTAGTGTTAAAATATTGGAAGCCTACACATTTTTTCACAGTTTAGTTTAAACATCACTTCCTCAATGCAGATTACCCCAAACCATTCAAATAGAATTTAAAAACAGAGCAGTTGAGCACTTACCCTACCCCAAATTTCTTTCTAGGTAGATTTTCCATGCATTATCTCATTTAATCCTTACAATAACATGACAAGCTCAATTTAAATAAATATACATTTTTAGTTGTTTATTAATTTCCATTACTTGGCTCTGTCTATAAAAAATTACATCAATGAATCACATTGATTTCAGTTCTTAAAATAATTTTATCCACTTAAAAAAACTTTTCACAGAACTCAGAAGATATATCTGAACAATTTAAAGCAATTTTATGGTAATAGTGTTTCTTCCTCCTCTCTAGTTTTATTTGCTCCATTTCACTGGTGAGGAAATGAAGGCTCATGGAGATGGAGTGGCTTATGCAACTGAGCACTGAGGGCCAGGCCTGCCCCACATTCACCCTGGCCCTCCCCGTGCCATCCTCCTTGCCTCCTTCCTGGGTCATATCCTGCATTGCAATCCTGCATGCACATTCTTCAACGCTTGTATAGATGGCACTATATTCTTCAACTGC